CTGATGAATGTCAAGCGCTATCTGTTACCTGTGTGAGAGGTACAGCAAGCAAATCCAGTTGGCGAGCCCCTGCAAGTGAGCGATTACAATGAAGAATTCGTCCTTTATGCGGTTTCAATGGCCATTGTGGCTTGAAGGCAAAGCTCGTAACTGTGCACCCGGTGGCTGAACGCAAGCGCATCGTGAATGCGGATAGCAATTTGCGTGTTAGGAGGTGGTTCTATAGCACTCTGGTTCCTTTCTATAGCTCATCAGCTCATTGTATGAGCTAGGATAGCACACGCGTAGAAGTGGGTTGGAGTCACTCCTGTGCGTGCCATCAGCACATACGAGTCTACAGAAAAAGGCGTCCCTTGGCGAAATTAGGTGAAGGGTTGCTCCCGAAAACTGCATGCGATGAACATGGTTGTCGGTTTTTGTTGTGCTGAATATTCAATCCCCCGAGTCTTTGTGTACGGGAGCACACGAGCCATGCACCAACCACTGTCTCTAACCCCAGCACAGAGTTTTTAATCTCGCCGGTTGAAGCCATAATGCGCCTTTGCAGGCTATCGCAGTCAGACCAGCTTCTCCACAAATGGAGGGTGGCGTGTAGGTCGCCCAGACTTTTGATACGCTTAAAACCAATTTCATCGCCGTCTCCCGCTAAAGTTGTTACGGAGGCGTTAAAGTGCATAAAATTACTCCCTCACATTCTGACTCCAGTCAGCCGCTTGCCATCCAAGTAGGGTTAGGTTTACTGTGCAACGCAAGCACAGCATGGGATTTCATGCAGACTGTAGCAGTTGGGTGCCCCACGTGCCCTGCTCATGGCCCTTGCAGCGCAAGCCTACCGTGTTCCGGTGTTGTGGCAACGAATATTTCGGCGACCTGTATTTCTGGCTTTGTTTGTGGCTACTACTAGTTTGCAGTAGCTCGCACGCTTTTTTGGGACGCTTCCCTGCAAAAGCGAAGAACACAGCGAAGAGCATATGACACCAGGCTTCTGCCTGGTCAGCAGCAACTTTTGCACAAACGGTGCTGGTACGGAGCAATTTGTCAGACCCTTGTCCTCAGTTGTCAAATTGTTGTGGGCCGGGAGATAATCACAGCCCCAGCATCCGCAAGTTGCATGTATGGGTCAGCTTTCAAAGCGTCTGCAACTTGTTACCTAGAGCACCTTACCGTGGAGTTCCTTTGGCTTTGGTGTGTGGGCGACAATCGCCCGTTTACCCCCTATTTATACCCTTCTGCGGCACAGGCACCTACTCATCGCTTTCAATGCAAACGGCAGAGCTGAAACAGTGATAATCTATGTGTAGCCTACATTTAGAAGAATTATACGCCTTCGCCTGGGGCTAAACTGCTATATTTCTATGTGCTACAGCATCCCACCGCGCTATGCTTTCGCAGCTTTTGCAGTTTAGCCTGTGTACTGTGGGTCAGGGGGAGGTAAGGCAGCACCCATGCATTATCAGCGCAGTTATTTCTTTTTTCACTTAATAGAAAGGGTGACCTTATGAGTGCACTTTCGAAATGAACAATACGCTCTAGAATGGATAGGTTTCTCCCGCATCGTGGCATAGCCAGTACACTCGTAGCTGCTCTACCAGTAAGGGATCGTCCAGCTCGATGACGCGATGACACTGCATTTGCTCCTACATTCTGACTACCTAGGAGAAAGAGAAAGCGGAGAAAAACTACACTTTCGAGAGGCAGCAGTGCCACAATTCTGATAGAGATTCAACGTCATCTACAAGGTCAGTACGCGTGCATGTACGGGGTGGGGGTATTCTCACGACTAACGAGTCAACCAGCCCAGCCGTAGAGTTGATATGGCCGTGACGACCATTATTTTTCTGGTACGCCGCAGCTAAATTTAAGAGGCTTCCAAACCAACGCACCTGTCGAAAAGTAATGAACCGCCGTTTTGGCTCCGGGTGTTCTGAGCGCGCTGGTCCAGAATACAAAAACTGTGGAAGTGCAGAAGAACCCCTCCTGAGTTGCAGGCCTTGTGCACGCAACGGCCGAAGAGATATGGTTCATAGCCTAAGCCTATGTCAACCATATGCGGATATAGCATTTTGCAAGCGTCTAGCCCTGTGCGTCCCTGTTACGCAAACAATATTGCACTTTGCTTATGCGTCAGGGTGTCCACCTTGGGTACCATTGTTTTTGTTCCTTACAACACCCTCTGTCAGGGGTGTACTATCCTTTTATAACTTTCCGAGGTGCGTCTAGGGTTACCCTAACGTCACACACACCCTTCTGGCACTATGCCTATACCTGAGCCTATGTGTGCTAGAACGAATGAGCTAACGGGGACTTTGCCACAGGTGGTTTTGCCAACTGTAATGGCAGTACCCAAATAACTTACATTGGTAAATTAAGCACACAGATTGGAAGCAAGCCCAACAGTCAGTAATGCCTCCAGACTGTGGACGTACTGAGTGTTCGGCGCTGAGTGGACTGAAGCACGCAAAATATCTAAACTGTTTACTTGCATGATGGCACCCTAGGGCCTGTTGTTTTGCGCCCTGCAAACACTTAAATGGGAAATTAGTGGATATACCCAGAAACTGGTTTTCCGCGGGATAATATGCTTATGTTTAATGTCTTGTTTTTTGAGAGGCTTAATAGACATGGAAGATTTTTAATCCTAGCTCCTGCGAGGCTCTCAGCTTGGCATAGGCTTTGGAGCGTTCCAACGTCTAGCATTAATGTGTCTGTGATACTAAAGCCGTTAATGCGTGCAGCAGTTGAAACGAAGCATCACAAAACATTTGTTTTACTTGATACAGTTTCAGCCAGGTTTCCCGTACCGGCATAATGCTATTATTTTCAACTTCTTTTTCCTTTGGCTGGCTTCCAGACGCATTCTTCATCAACAGCGATTTTGGTTGCCCGTGGGTGGAGATTTACTCTCAGGTGGGTGCTATCGGTGGCAACTTCGTCTAGAACAGCTTCAGTGGTGAAGGCATACCTTGTCACTCCTATGTTCTACGTAGTACCAAGAGGGAAGTGCTCTCTTGCTATTTCACCTAATTCCGCACTGCTACGGTTGCTTACTTCCACCCACCTGTGAACCTGGAATATTTCATCGGCTTAAAGAAGAATTAATTGGTGGCAATCCGGGTTAACTTAGATTGTGCAAGCGAAGGAGAACAGGCTGGGCTTGGCTGTTGGTTGCAGTTATGCCTAATATTGTCGGCAGGATGGTCTTGCGTGCTATTTGCGGGAAACAAGCCAGAATCAGTAAAGGGCATTTCCACTATCTTTGGGGGGTCAGAGCCTCCCTTTCCCATGATAACTAGAGATTCAATGACACCCCATTTTTCTAAAGATTCAATGACATCCCATTTTTCTAAAGATTCAGTGACATCCCATTTTTCTAAAGATTCAATGACATCCCGTTTTTCTAAAGATTCAATGACATCCCATTTTTCTAAAGGAAAAGGTAACTGCGAAACAAGGATCTAGTCAAACAATTTTGTCATCACGCGGTCAACGTGCTGCTGCAGGCCGTGTATCATATCCGTGAAGTCAACTGAATTCCCGAAATATCGACGTTGAGGCATTAGTTAGTGCTCTCGGATGCATGGAAACACAAAACTGAAAGGCGCAAGCTTGCAAGGAATGGCTGTAGCGTTACAACCGTACTTTGTACTTTGTACTCGCCCTTCTCGCGTGCTCTACTACCCTCCACCAGTCAGCGCAGATCGCTACCATTCGTCTCCTTCCGGCAATAATTTGGCTGTTGGAGTCCCCAGGTGTATTCAGACACAGTATGTAGTGTACACTTCCACGGTGAGAGGCGTTTCAGGCCTTCCTCTTACTGGCACGTCGATACATGTGGCAGCCAAGTCTTTTGTCAGTCTGGAAGGTGGTAGTTACCTTACCAACAGCAGGCTTCGGTGAAGCTATTAAGGGGTTTTCTGCATTTTCATTAATTGTAGCGTGACGTCGCAGGGTCTTTCAAACAAGCAGGCGGTTTCTCCGCTGCTATAGGTTCCACACAAAGAAGGCAAATTTATAGATGAAAACGTGTTACAAATCAAAGTGTCAATAATTATGTAAGAAGTTTGCGCTAGGTAATATATGTTGCAAAAGCACACGTGTACTTCCAAGCAGCGATCAGTGATGGGCAAACCAGCATGCTGATGCGGCTGTAAGATTGGTCGCGACAGCTTCACCATAACTGTCCGTTAGAAGTTGTGTTTGCCAAAAATGTGGACTGAATGAGGGTAAATTGTAAAATGTTGATTAAGTTTCCAAACAAACAAACCTACGGTATCACGATAGTGCGCAAGGTGCATGCATGCGGCGGAACGCGTGAGGACACCCAATGGATCTACTTTTGGCAGGAATCAGCCAACGAAGGTGTGCGAGCAGATCAAAGAAAGCGGTGTGTTTGTCTAGTAGAAGTTACATCTTGTATGAAGCTCAGCGCTGAATCACTACGGAGCACTTGTTACCAAATGACTTCCGTAGTGGTGTTCGATAACGCAGTCCCCTAGCAGCCGGCTATTCACTCGTTGTTAGTTGTTGTTCCGACGTAGCATAGCAATTAACAACATACCCATTGTTAATATTTTTAAAGGCAGTTAAGGTGAATGTTTCATTGCTAGCTGTAGTAGCGGCAGTTTTACCACCAAGTGCGCGGTAACCTGAATACTCGCCCCTATGCCATTACATCTCCTCGCTTCAGTGGGATCCCCCACCTTTCTAGGGTTCTTCTCCTTGTATAACGATAGGAATTGCATGGCGGAGCGATACGAAGCGCATTATGGGGTGATTCCAAGCGCAGGGGGGAACTCGTGACGACGCGGGGGATTGGAAGCACTTCGCGAAGTGGCTAAAGCTACTTCGTTAGATCCCATGACGCAGCCTGCCGCAGTAACATACATTGTTACGCTAGCTGCTAATGAAGTACCTTTGGGTGGAAAGCTGGATTCCCGACCTGCACAGCTGAGGTCCTCCGGGGACTGTGAAGATCCTCTACCGGCTGGTGTGCAGCGAAAATGCTAGAATCCTTCTTGTTGCCGCACCTTAACACGGCTCTGTCTGCAGTGTTTGAAGATCTCGAGCCTCATCAGCTGTACGCATCTATATTGGGGGGTAGCTTGGTTCTACGGAACTTGAAACTCAAAAAGGATGCCTTGGCGCCTCTATCGATACCGGTGGATGTTACATATGGGCATATAGAAAAGCTCGAAATCAAAGTATGTTGGTATACCCGCGACTTTTTGTCTTACCTGACCTAATGTTCCACACAAAGATGCTTTCTGGACAGATTGCATCGTCCTGTTGAGCCTTGCTACGGGTGCTGTGGAATTGTCCGCTCCAGAATGTGTGTGGTATGCCTCATACAGCTTAATATTCTTCGTCTACTTACCGGTCCCATAGTCATCAACGCTGAAGATGTACTGGTAGTTGGTACTACCCAACCTCCATCTGCATGGAATGTTGAGAGAGAGGAATTTTTACGTGATCAGCAGCGGAATCTTACTCTCTTAACGGACGAATGTTTGACGTATGCGCGGGAAGAATCAGGTCTTCCCTCTGTGCTACAACGAGCAGCATATGCAATTATTCAACGAATCCGGTTGTCTGTGACCAGGTTAGAAGTGAGGCTGGAAGACACAGAAACAGCTTCAGGGCAGCACTTTGCTTTTGGCCTGCGAGCAGCACGCCTGTTTAACGTTCGCTGTGACTCCAACTGGGAAGCAGAATGCCAGCCTTCCACGGCCGTCGGCACATCATGCAACACCAGCGCCAGTAATGCGCCGACCTCAAACAATGCATCTTCGCAGAGTTGGTTTGACTGGCTAAAGTCTTTCGCTGGGAGGCACGTAAACAAAGAATCCCCTGACGAGAAGATTCCTGAGTCATTCCACTTGAAAACAGTCATGGAAGGTTCGTGTGTATATTTAGACCCAATCAATAGTGGCCATGAGCACGTCTCGTGGCTTCCATACCCAGCCGTGTACAGAGCAACGATAATTGAAGAGCTGCAGAAGTATCTTCTTCTGGATTATCACTACTCGAGTGCGAAAGATGCAACACCTTGGTCCATTTTTAGGCGTCCCCGGCAAGGAGAGGGCCATGGCATTGCATCGTTTTTACCAGTAAGCACCCTCAGCCAAGCTGTGCTCGCTAGACGAATGCGGGACGCCGCCAGTTCTGGCAATCCCGTACCCAAATCAGATGAACAACGGCTACCGGAAGTGAGTAACGTAGACAAGAGAACGGGAAACTCTAAATTTCACCCTCTTGCTGCATTTGGGACACCAAAAACTGCTGAGGGCTCGTCCTACAATGCTCACAAGCAGAAGCCATCTGAATTCCTGCGGTTCAGCGACTTGTATTGCCCAAAGATGTTTTGGCAAATTGCAAATCGTACTGCTCCACATCACATGTATATCCTAAAGCCAGGAGAGGTGGAACTAAGAGTGAGGTGCGTACAGCGACCTACACCTAACTCTTCGTGCTGTGAGAGAGCCTTTTCGCGTCCTTCCCCGATGGCTTCCTATTTGAGGGCAGCATGTGATGACGCCAATAATGGATCAGTATTGAAAGGTGAATCGATAACGGAACCGCCGGCAACGGCCGAACTAGAGAAGGAACCACTACCTGCACTCACCGTCATTGTTGTCTCTCGGAGTACCCTTTTTCAGTTGACAACCTTCCAGGTAGCCTGCATTTTTCGTTGGGTGCACTATGCTGTCATTTTATACCAAGAGGTCGTCTCAGGCGTCTATGCAGAATGCCTGTAAGTCAGCAACATCTCATTTCCAGTACTCATTTGCCAGTGTTCCCTGATGTCTTGAGAAACCCATTCTCGTTCTTCTATGCTGCAACCCTTTTTCAGGGAACTTACACCAAAAGAGGACGAGATGGCGAAATACCGGTTTGCGTGGCGCCGCCATCTCGTGCGCTATGCTTTGAATGCTACAAACAATGGAAAGGCGCTTAACTTGCAAATAAAGTCAGGGCAAACTAGGGTTGCGTTTACTTCCCAAAGTGATGCTGAAGCCGCGGACTGGGATGCCCAGGAAGCCACCGACGAAAAGTTTATTCGGGAATTCGAGGCAAAGTATTGGCCGACTGTAATTCTTCCCTTACGGCAGTTGGCCCTTCAAGACTTAAAGCAGAAAGTGTGCTTTGGTCAATCTTCTCGCATGACAAGCCTGTCACAGCAACAGTACGCAGTAGATGGTGGGACCGTCATTCCCTATCGAACGTTGGAAGGAGGGCAATTAGGAAGCGTAAAGCAGCGAGGTGACGGCGCTGGTCTGGAAAGTGGCGTTGCGTCGTATGGTAATGGAGGACATACCACCTCAGTGCAAGGGCTGATGGAGGACATGGCAGACGAATTGTCTGTGGCTTCTGAAGCAGAGCAACAAATGATAAAGTGCATACAACAAATGCAACCATGCCGGCTTGCCAAAAGTGTCCAGTTTACCGTGCAACTATACGATCTGGAGGTGACACTGGCGGCAGCATACGAGGCACCTGCATGCATACGTGTAAAATTTGATGAGTTATATACCCACGCTGCAATGTACTATGACCTCCGCATGCAATTTGTTACCGCATTTGAAGGCGTCCAAGTCACTGACAGCCTCATGCCGAACTTAACCCATCGTCGTGTAGTAGTAAGCCGGTCGTGTACCAAATCCTGCAGGGAAGCCCGGCGGTTATCCGAGTCTTGGAGAGGGTCTCACAGGGATACTACAGCTGAAGCTGTCCTTTCTTCCTATGGATGTACAAGTTGTGGTTCTAATAGTATTCACGGAACTCCACCGCTGTCACCACTTCAACCTGTTAACACTGCTTGTATTCTGGACTGGAGCACGAACTGCATACGGCAAAGCGGTTGCCCATTACAATATTCGAAGAAAGAGCATGAAGGCGAGATCCGCAATAATCAGGATGCCCCTGCAGGGGGGTGGTTGCGTTTTGACAAGTCCTTCGTGCCACTAGAAGGCATCCCTGATGTACGCCTCTACCTTCAGACGCATGGTTCGCTGCTTTGCACAATCACACCAGCTGCAGTTGCATATGTTGTGGAAGCTCTGCAACAACCGGTCCATCTGGTGGAAGGAAGCAGCATCCTGGAGGCGGCTAGCAGGGAAGTCCAAGAAGCACTGCGAAGGAATGAACTATTCTTTGCCCAGCTACTTGTTGGGGAGGTCGACCACCTAACAGTGGATGTTTGTGTAGATATACCGGTTTCACACAAGTTCCTGGTTCCCTTCAGCCATGAGGTCTCCCAATGCCGTGGCGTTCTCTTTCAGTCCGGAGTAGTGTCGGTTGACAGCAGCTTGAACCCACCGCAGCTGCAGGCGCTAGCATCTAGTCACACCTGCATTGGCAAACCATACGATAGATATTCGATCGTCATTACAGGGGCCTGTTTGCAGCGAGTAATAAATTGCCAACTGATTGAATGCAGCCCACATGCTTATATGATAGATCCATATTCTCCCTTGAAGGAGAAAGGGGACAGTGCACAAGGATGCTCAGTTGCCTTAAAGAAGCGAGGGACTCAGGAAGTCTCCCCACACAACATATATACGTCTACAGGGACAAAATGCAGACGATGGGAGGAACTGCACGCAAACTCTTCCTCTAGGCGCCTCAAGGCACCGAGTTCAGATAGAACGGACAACAGGTTAGACATCGTGACCCCGCCAGCAGCGTGCGAAGCTAATGAAGCCAACAGCAAGTTCGGTACCATCGAAGTTTTAGAGGATGGTGTACGGGACTATATTATGTGGCCGGTAGGGTTGCTTGCGCATGCTGACGTCTGCAACAATCTCCATAGCCTTACGGACTTACCCGCGCTCGCAGTAACCTTCCAAGACCATGATTTCAGGTACCCAAAGCAGCATTCTGAACCCCTTTGCCCAACCATAAATTTGCCATTCCAACAGAAATCACCATCCTTTAAAATTGTTGAGGAGGAAGCTGATTTGCTTGGCCCGCCGACAGTGTGATGTCTACCATTCGTTTTTACGCAGTGGGGTTTGTATTACTTTGACAGACAAGGATATCGTGGCTTTCACCGGATTCCTTGCCACAGTGCAAGCTGCACTAAAGGTTGTTGCCCAACTGTGGGATGCACCATTGGCAGTTGATGAAAACGCAGATGTCAAGCCTTTCTCAGGCAGCACAAGTTCTGCGACGCTGTCATTGACGGAGACGAAGGAGTCATGCAGTACCAAACTGCAAATGCTTCGTTCTTTTACAAGGACCAACAAGGTAGGCCTTTACTTTCTGGAGGTGACGCAAGTCACAGGAATACTGATGCAATCGTTTGCATCAGAAGACATGGCGGCTGTTGTCCATATTTGCAATGACTCATCCCTGCCACTCACGTGATAGGAGACATTAAAACTTTTTATGCCAGCATGCGTCCCACGAACCATTTTCTGTCCTTAGCAGGGTCACGAAAAGCGCATACGAATACACACAGTGGTACCTGAAATTGTGCAGCTACAGGATCGAATGTTTCGCGGGAGGTATGCGACGGAAACTGCCAGGCGTTACAGTAGTCGTGGGCACCGGAGGACTGTGCGCGATGCGACGTCTGGAGGACTGAGCGATTTTTCTGGAGGAGGCAGCATGGACTCGCTGCACAACATAGAGAAAAGCTCTACTTTCAGACGAGTTGCTTTTTATCTCCATCGCAGTCTACATAATTCTGGCTTTCCTGGGCCAAACCACACGATACTTCGCAAACGCACAACGCATATTTTCCCCATCAACCGACTGCAGCAAGCTGGCCCAAGCTTGCGTGACTCGGAACTATCCATGCTAGAGAGTAATAACAGCACTAACTTTCAGCCCGTTGTATCGAACTGCAATGAACAAATACGAGGGCCATCTGCGTTCGAAGACGTAGAAGACAGAATCGACAGACGCCTTGAATTGGATAACGAAATCTGCAGAACACTAGAAGATGATGCCACCGTGGAGCCATCTCAAACACAACTGATAACTAACGAAACCCCGTCGAATGGCCTAATTGGGTTCGACATCAAGTTAGGCTTGTCAATATTTGAATTTCGACTCTACAGAGAGGAGTGCAAAACTCCCGCGGACGCTACAGAGGCAACTGAAAATGCAGTGCGCTCGGAGGCAAAACGCCCAAAGAGCCCCGGCAACAGCGTACTTCTAAGGTGTAGGATGGGTAATTCACGTATCCGGATAAACTGCCCAGCTCAAAGTACAAGCATCGCTTGCACGGCAACTTTGGATGAGATGTGCGTTTCCATGGGACGGTCATTACCGGCTGAAACACCTGGGCTTGTGTCCCAGGAATCAAAGGGTCGAGGCCATGACTGGGAGAAGGGAAGGGGAGATGCGGAAACCGGACGCAAACACTTTCAAGCCACTTGTTTCCCAGGCCACAACGCAAGTTCCGAAAATTGTGCATCCAGTGGGCCGGCATATATTAGCCATTTGACTATGGATTCAGGCATTTGTGACTCGTGTACTGGGGTTCCAGTCCAGCAGTCTTGGTCTGCGCCAGTGTTCCAATTTATACCTCCCCAACGCACAAACGCCATTGATGTTGAGGAAGCTGCCACTGACGTTGCCACTGCCCTTTGTGAAGCTGCAAATTCTCATGGCCACTATTCTCCAAGAACTGCGCTACCTTCTGCAACCGCTTTGGCGTTACGAAAGGCGCTTGTTAGCAAACGGTTGAGGCTAACGAATCGCTGGATGTTTCCACCTCAGTATCCAGGACTGCGGTACTCAGCGAGTTACAGGGGAGGAAACAGTTCAGAACCAACTTGTAAAGTGGAAGAACAGTATTCCAGATGCAAACCAACATCCAGCCAGAGGGCTTGTGGAGGTAGCACCGCACGAGACATCACATGTGGAGAAAGCGCCGAGACAGCTGCTGCAAAGCCACATTTTTCCGTTTTCTCGTCTAGGTTTTATACGCACATCAGGGACGCTGGTGAGGAAGAAGTCCTGGTCGAGGACTTGGTAGGAGGTCTGTGCTTTTTCATACCGTCAAGCTTACACAGAGCGATAGCAACGAGAGAGACATGGCAAGCGCTTGCAACGAAAGTTCCTGCTGTTTCCGCTGAAGCCTCTTTCTGTCTTAAAAACCTTCTACATTGCTTGGAGGTCCGATGCACACCTCTTCGGATAACGCTTGACTGGGGGATTCTTTCAGAACATATCGGTATGTCTAGTACCTAGGGCAGCGACCAATTTGCCATGTCTTTACAGCCGCATGATAAAAGCCTTACTGTGGTGTTGCCTGTGATGCAGCTCTTGGAGAAGAAGTGGCTTGTGAGGCTAGTAAAGCGTATACAGCAGCTACTCTAAGCTGTTCACCCGCAGCCCCGGCAGAGGCTGGACCTCAGACTTGTGGGCATCCATTTCACCGGCAGAGCCGCGGTCGTGCGTGTTTCCAAAGCGGACAGCCCACTAGAGGGTGTGCAATTGACGGGGAGACAAATGCACCCGCCAAAAGGAATATTAATGCTCTGGATGGCCTTCTTATGCAGAATGGTGGGAAACTCCCATGGAGAGTTCGTGCTAGTATTGTCGTCGCTCACTGCGATGTAGTTTTGCCTACCAGTACACCTTCGCCCTATCCTAACTTGCCAGTATCCTCGGCATTTTGCAGTGAAGACCAGGTCCAGATTCCAAACTATTTAACGCGACAAGGAACCCGTCGAAGGAGTCCTGTGGAGTTGGCTTCAGTACCTCAAAGGGTTCAGGGCCGTAGCAGTGCTCTTTCTCAGCACCTCGATTCCAGTTCCATGGCCTTGCATGGGCTAGACAGCGTCGTTGGCTCCCCCACTGCCTTGAGACAAAGTGGCCGGAACAGGGGAACAGAAGCTGACACACCGTCAAGGGAAGGCACCCCTGATTTACTGGAGGCAATACTAGCCACAGCACCTCCTCTTTGCGTCTTTTCCTTTTCTGCTGCCACTTCATTTTATTCGGAGTGCCACTCTTTTGCTAATACGGAAGAAGCTGATTCATGTACAGTGGAACCTATAACTTCTCAAGACATAGTGAGAAGAGTTCCCAGTGGGCAGCAAACCTTGAGGCTTTTGGTGAACATAAATCAAGTGCGAGCGGAACTATTGCAAGGCCCAGGAGGTTCAGATAAACCTTTGGTCCATTTATTAGAAGTACTGAGAGAGATTTCTGGAGTTCCTGAAACGGAGAATGCACGCCGTCCACCCCTCGGAGGCTGCATGAGGCCCATTGGATATGGAACACCGGACTTGCTTCCATTAACGCTTCTTGATGGACACCGAATTGCGCGTAACCTGTCGTGCAGCAACAAGAAAGAAAGATCCAATTCGTTAACTGCATCTCAACTAGTTGCGATTCCCTCACCAGAGATCCCCCTAACACGCCCTGCCAGCCAAGGTAGGGGTTTCCGAGCTTCCATGGAATCAAGTCGCAAGCCAAGACCCGGGTGTCAGCCAATTCTGACTGTACAAAGGCACGCAATCGTCGACGGGTGTCGCTGCCGAGTTAGAGCGTTCTACACAGTTGTTGAAGAGCCCAGCTATACTGGCGGCTCTCCTTGGAAACGAGCTGGGCAACCTCTGTTAGGGAACATGCAGGATGGGGTGACTCCAGAGGTTACTGGTGCGGAATCTGCAGAAAGAACCTACAGCACACACACAGCAAGCGTTTGTCGAGGGAAGGGAAACAACTTCAATAACAGTGGAGACGCGTTAGTCGAGCTGGAGCCTTTGGTGGTACGCACATTCAGCGGATTATGGCTACGCAGCGATGCCTGCTATGGCATATAGCAGCTATGACGAGTTTGCACAGTTTGGGCACTTACTGGGCAGCTCTCATGAAAGTATTCATGGTGAACAGTAGGCCACTTGTGCCATCCACTCGCAGGTACACTTGGAGCCGTCAATAGTAGTCGCTGGGGTGTCACTGCTTCAACTTCTCCAAAGGCTTTTCTTACAACCCCCCCCGGCAGCCTCAGAGATGCAAACCGAAGCACCAGAGACGCACTCTGGGCCGAAGCAGACGGATGGATCAATGAAAAACTCAGATGTTAATGGTACAGGGATAACGACCGATCGCAAGAACTCGCGCACCTCTCATCAAAGGCCACCTTCGACGTCGCCTTACCGCACTCATAACAAAAATGATGGAATTGTTGCGGACACCAGCCCTGTTGCTGAGTTATCACGAGGGGAACTCGGAAGACCTCAATCATCTTTTGAGACCGCAGAGTCTTCATTGCCTTCCACCGAAGGTTCCTTTCCGTTGGTGGACACATCGAGGGGTTTGGGGGTCGACGAAGGCTTCAAACGGAGCACCACAGGAGGCTCACCGGTCTCACAAAGCAAAGCAAGTAGTCTTGATTGCCATGCAGAGTCTAGGCAGCGTGCATCTGCTGTCGGTGAATGTATAGCCGACGGCAGTGAAAATGCAAACAAGACCTTGCCTTTATTTTGGAGACTACTGAACTCCCTAGATGCGGTTATTAGTTTGAAACTACGGATGGAATGCATACAGTTCGAAAGCCCGTCACTGCATTTCACCGTGGAAGATCTAGAACTTCGCTGCGGTCTCGAGTAAGAGCTTTGACAGCTTTTGTCCCGCAGTATATGGCAGGCTCTTCTTAGGTAATAATTGCAACCGCTCTAATTGGGCAGTTTTCTTTCTTTTGCACCGCGGAACAAAAATCATTCGTTTTTATGCCTGTCCCATGCCAAATACGGCTGCGCACTTGCTTTGTTTACGGCCCTCTTAGTTTCTGCAGGCTCTCCTCTTTCCTCGAAGCGCGCCATCTCAAAGCAGATCAAGGAAATTACTCTTACGTAAAGAACACGAAAAGATTACGACAAAGGTCGGTAGCCGGCCGGTTTGCGCTGAAACGTCTTCCACCAGAGATAGCTTCTGTCCGTTTGCCACAAGCGTTGAACGGAAGGCGGAAAGTCGGAGAGGTTGTGCACAAAGAGTCGACACAGTTTTCAGTAAAACCAAAAGGCGCGCAAAAGGGTGGTGCGGGGGAGCCGAAGGAGGTTTTGGTCGGTATTAAAATGATGATATCTGCGGAAGCTTTGCATAAGGAAAGAATAGCTCTAGAGTCTGTCTTGGAACCGTGGCACTGCTCGTTGGACCTTCGATACGTACGTTCACTCTTACTGGTGATTAGGCAGGCAACAAGCCGTCCGTGAGGTTTCTGGCACTTTAATGCGTAAGTGGAGTGCGCTGCATTGCTGCTGCTACGTAGACCCCGGGAGATATTCTGCTGAGGACGCTATCAGCTCATCCTCTCGGAGTTAAAGGCACTCGCCAGTTTACCGAGCGGCCTACAGTGTTAAAGAAAGCAAAGTCTACGTGGCTTTCAGGAAGCCATGTGAAGGATTTTAAACCGAAAGACGGACGACAACGTTCTTTACTTTCTAATCCAAAGCTGCAAAGGAGGACAAAATACATTCCGGCTTCAGTGTACCGAAAAGGCTCGAACGTGCAAGACAGTTATTACGCTTTGACGAAGGACGTCAGCAATCGCAGTAAAAAGCTCCAACGGCTCGCGAGAATTTGGGGCAAATACGGGACCGAGTTTTGCGCAGAAGTGCAGTGCTCCTGGCTAAACATAACAGCAGCGCCTTTCCTTATGGATGCAGTGCTCGACACCGCGAATCTCATTGAGGCAGCTCAGCGAGCACTGCATGAGCAACTTAACAAGTGAGGGCCGGTACCATGCCGAAGCGGCGTTGCACCAAGTGTCCATTCGTGTATATGCCGCACATGGGGAAGCACAGAAAAGTCGAACAGAGCAACAATTCATGCCATGTGCGCTACGGCAGGGTCTCCTTAGGCAATAATTGCAACCGCTCTAATTGGGCAGTTTCCTTTGCAGGCACCACCTTCTGCGCTCTGCACTCCGCAGCGGTACTTCACCAAGTAGGATAACATATTGAGCTTCATCGAAATCCCTTTTCCCTTGATTCTTCTCCTTCTGGAGCGCCAGGCCACGAGGGATCGTTAGAGCAGCTGTTGCTCACCTGTTTCGTGTTTTCCCACAGTACTTGGAGCTCCTGCTTGCTAGATTGCAATGTGAAAATGACTGCAGGGCTTTCTAGGCAATCAAAGGTCAAGACGAAAAACATCGATGGCCGAACGAAGAACTTTCTACTCGCTGCTTCGCAGAGAAAGTTGGCAACACAGCTCCTTCAGGAACCTAACGGCGAATTTGAGGGTGTTGCTCCAAATGTCTGCATGGATGGCACAACCCAAGAAGATCGCCCCAGCAGGACTCCGAGCCTTGCAGGATCGGCACCTGCATCGGTCCATGAAGACGAATCAAACACAGAGCAGCAGAACGTGTCAACCTGTCCTGGTCCTCCAGCTCATTCGCCATCTGTGACCCGTGTTCACGGGGCACTTGGAGCCCCCGGGGAAGGTTTGGGGGGTCAGTCTCAAGACAATGAGGCCGTGGAAGAGCAGCAACTGCCCTTGTTGTAGGCATCCTCACTTTCACCGCCAGCCAGATGCTCTGCGCTACATCTGTTGTAAGCATCCTCTGCAACTAGGGTTGCTCACGTGTTTAGTTGCAGTATGTTAAGATGAACCGAAGGCTGAATGCCGACAGCGTCAAATCCTCATCGCTACTTCGTGTCGTGCAGAGTAAACATGACAGGCCTGCCTTTACTGGTCCATGTCCTGAACCCAGAACGGCGCGCCTCAGGTGCACAGGGAGAGGAAAGCAGCTCCCTGACTGTGGACAACTACTTAGTGACTGATGATTTCGGCATCGTGCGCCGAAAAGCCCTGGCAACGATTCCCTTGGCGCCAAGCAATCCCTTATCGACCACTTCAGATGGCGCTGGAGAATATGAGCACAACTACAGCAATACTTTCGTCGGCAGTTTATGCAACGCAGTCACGGATGCCAACCACGTCACCTCAGCACCAGCAGAACAGTCAGGAATAGAGAGTGTTACTGGATTCTGGAGATCCCTATGTCATGGAGAAAGCTTTAACGTGCCTTTGGACGACCATGTGAGCCCCATTTCCCCCACTTCCTTACTGTTGCTCTACTGTGCATTGCTTTACCACTTTGTCTTTTGTAGAGCTACGTCCAGCCCTGTTTGTCCGACAATTTGTGTAAACAGGGGCAGACGAGAAAGGTGCTCGTACGCCTTCAAATCGCGGGATCGGAATTTGAGATAGATGACTTGTGCCTCGATGGGAGCCAAGTCTCCCTGCGAGAGCTGCCAATTAAGCTACCTGCACTTGTCAATAACCCTCTGCAGCGGGATGCAAGGAAAAAGCAGCGGCACGAGTTGCTCCATGCATCAGCACGAATCCTTGTCAGAACCGTATTTGTACCCAGCAGCCGAACCTTTAATACTTATTTGTCTTCGGTTGTCTCCATACGAAACAATTTATCTACCCCAGTCATGGTAAGCCCCTTTACGTCCTCGTCTCTGCTTTCCTACACATTACAAAAGCTACTCAAGTTACACGCTTGGCCAAAGACGTTTCCCAGAACTGGGAGGCTGTGAGCTGCGGCTTAGGTTCTTCCCCATCCCGCCGTAGCAATACTTGACACACCTGCCGAATGCTTCTCCACTACAACGTCCAGCTGTTGTTCCGACGAACCGCAAAATGTCGACGCACCGAAAGGCTCCTTAGCATCCCCAGGAAGGTATTCGAGCCAAAATGGAAACACGGATACAACACATTTTCCCTGTTCCCGTGCAACTATAAAGTCTCCAGCGGAGGCGCCACTGGTGCATGAGGAATTCCAAAATACTGCAGATCGTGTACATTCAGACTCTAGCAGCGAACATACATCCAGGCAGACGCCCTCATCGGATGGAAGGCCTGAAAGCGAAACTAAACATGTCTCTCCTTGCTGTCCTTTAAGTATTCAAGAACACGGGGGAGTGGTGCACGTCCCTTTGTCTTGGATCCTTCCCAGAGCAGTTGTGGCTCACAGACTGGGGTACCTGGGCCTAGACACAACCCATGATGGTTCCGTTTCGGAACCTCAAGACTCCGCAGCAAAGCCGGAGCCAATGTTGTCCGTTTCAGAGCCGGATGGTACGCCGGCTGTAGATCCTAGTGCTACCAAGCCACAGACCTCAAATTCCCTATTTTTTTGGAAGCATACGAACCTTGCGGAGCAAAAGAGCCGTGCAGCTGCTGTTATGACTGCGCCTTTAACAAGCATAAAGATACATGGAAAGGCTGCTGGGACTCGTGGTCTACGAGCAGCCTCATCGGAAGAAGTAGAAGCTTTTCCTAATTTCTACAAGAGTGTCGTAGAAAGGTGGAAAGATGACATGGGAGTAGAGCCCTTGTATATTATTCCCTCGTCGTGCATTACTGCGGTGCTGGGGTTCGAAGAGAATGACCCTAACTATAAAAGAGGCGACGGCAGCGACAGCGACGTAGACACTCCCGCAAAGCGACCGCTGTTTCATCCTAAGATTAGCTGCCGTCGGCTCTCAGCGGATACCAAACGCTGCCTCATGTCGCTCCTTTCAAACCGGCAATCAAATCAACCTGATTACGAGGGCCAGGGAATGGAAGCCAAGGTAAATGGCACGATTCCGTCGCAGAGCAGTGTTAGTTTTGCGCTTTTTAGAGCAGCATACATCGGAGACTGAGGGGTTTGCGTCTTGGTGGATAGACAGATCCACCAGTCTAGCAGCACACTTAACTGAATGGCACAGTGACCACGCATTTGTTTGAGTACTTGTGTAACGCAACAACGGTAAGCCGCCACGACATCATACTCCTTGTTTCAGTCCGGTGACTCACAGTATTGGGGTTAGTGTCTATTAACACTGACTGGTATTCTAAATTGTGGATGCAGGTGCCATTAAGCGGCTGCTTTCGACTATTAGTTTACAATACTCTCCTTACAAGGGTTTCACTTCTGTGGGCTCACTTGCGTGCTGTTTTTGCAAAACTACAGGGCTACCACGACGTGTATTCGCTTGCTCTCTCTCTCGGGGCAAAACCCCTCCTGGACCACACCACCCTTCAACAAATTGCTCTGGAAAACAGTCACAGTATTGCTTCCTTCGACTGCCGGCCCCAGGTTTTGGAGTTCTTCCACAGATCAACACAAACAAATAGGGCTAGCCCAGATGTGGCTTGCGACCTAGTCAGCACCACCTTGAGCAAGCACGCACACATCAACAATGATGAAACGAGCTCTGTAGCGTCTACTGCAATTGCTGTTACAGTTTATGGCCAGTCCCGAGACTTGGTATCTGAATCAGACCCGCTGTTCTTTGAAGTAGGGCTCGACGCGCCAATAAGTGTAAGTTAGCAACCGCTGCGTTGCAACAGAAATACAGAGGCCTTGTTATACTATGTTACTTCTTGTATGGAGTGCGGGTTTGGCAGCCTGAGCGTTCACTGTGAGCAGCTTGGAAATCGGCTCTTTGAACCACTTCGGGTGTCAATTATCCCCACAAACTCGACGACAGTACAACGACACCCTGGTGGAGGTGCAGCTCCGGATCACCAGGAACGTTTTCTACCTTATGCACACATACCTGCGGGGGGTGATATCAATATCCAAAGGGCTGCTAGCGGATTTACCTTCGAGTTGGAGACCACCTCGTGCGGGTCGGAGTATCGGCATATTTACGAATCCAAACCCTTGTTGATAGACTGCCACGCGCCTTCACCTGCGAGCGCGCTGGACCTTACCGTGTGTTTTCTGCGGTCTCGTATACTTGATAGCTCTGGAAATAGGGTACAGCAACACTCGACAATGTACCGTCACCTTTCCAGACATCAGCCTGCAGAGTTTTCAGTTCAGGCTGAAGTCGTGGGATGGGTCCAGCAGTGTGCCAGTTCTCCAAGCGTCGGTCCGTGTGATAGTTCGTCTGCCTGCGACTACGCGGGTTTAACGAATATCAAGAGGCACATGTGGTGCACATGCGTCAGAATGATTCGCGTCTTTGCACCGTTCTGGCTTGTCAATCGCCAGCCTGAGGCTCTTGCTGTATCTTACTGTCGCCGCCCAATTCAGTATATGCCTTCCTCAGACTGGAGATTCTTGGGAGTGCCTTTACAAGGTAGAGCATATATTGCACTTGGAATTGCTCCCGATGACGAGGCAGCCCATCTTCTTTTGCAAAAGGACTCCACAAAACCGGTTCTGGCTGAAGATATAAGAGCTGCACGTTCGCGGAGAGGCCCGAGTGTTAAGCTAAGTCCAGCATTTCGCGTTGACATTGTCGGACGTCCTACAACAGTTTCTGTCCAAATGCAGACTTCAAGGGGAGCTAAGGGGAAGCAATCACGTCACTTTGGAGTCATTGTGTCTTTAGCACCCCCGCCCTTCTCCCGCTCTAGAATTATCAGCATCCACAGCCGCTTCATACTCAAAAATTGCCTTCCATTCGATATATGGGTAAGGGAGACCAACGGGAGTGCTTCCCCGCTCCGTCTCGTACCAGGGTGCCAGTGCGCATTCCATCCTCAGGTTTTAGGACCCCGGGGTGAAGCCCTCATATGCATCACCAAAACAGACCCTGCAGCCATTGAGACTCTTGCCAAAACAGAGGCACCTGCAACCACCCAGCAGGCGAATTCGTATCCTGATGGAGTTGCAAAGGCTCAGTCGATAGACAGGATTGTATGGTCTTCTCAGCTGTCGGTAGCCCGCAGCGCCTCCTTCCAAATTCGTTTGAAGACCCCCGTAGAACGTTTACTCTGCCCTCCGAGTGGCACGGATCAGTACGCACCTCGAGGTGTACTTGGAACGGGAGGCAGGGCCTTATCGTGGGAACACCATAACATTCATATTGCTATTCGGTCCCTAGAAAATGCTGCATTTGCGGTGGTATTCAGTGAGCCCTTAACATCTGAATACCTGCTGGTTAACAATACTAACCACATAATTGCTTTTGCTCAGAGTGGCATTCGAACTAAACATGTTTGGGAGATCCTTGACAGGGGTAGCCAAGTTGGCTACGCTTGGACGGACCCACAGCGTGAAAAGAAGTCCCTTCGGTTTTCTTTCTGGGACAAGAACCAGAAAGTGGTGAAAGCATGTGACATAGCCCGGGTTCGAGTCCACCGCCCACTTAGCTTGCCAAATTCAAAAGAAAAAATTTACTTCGTTACGGAAGTCCGCGGCAGCAGGAGGCGGGTAACCATTACACTCGATGCGCCTTCTGCCTCACTGAAGAACGCTCTCGGAGCACGCAAAGTTTGGAAGAGCCTGCACCACGACATTTTCAAGATACGCCGAAAGAGGGTGCAGCAACAACTAAAAAGGGAAACCAAGGCATTTCTTCTAGCCCGTTCTCATTCAGAGGCTGATGCCTGGCGATCATTCCGTGACGGTAGAAAGGTGACTATTCCCAGTGAAGAGCGACAGCTTTTGTCAGTGTGTCGGGAGCGAAGGACGTGGGAATCAGATGAAACGGCACAAAGTGCCCCATGCAGTTTAGCAACTGGTCCCAGAGATCCGTTGTCGCAGCGTAGAATCCTGAGATTCCAGAAGAGGGAGACACTGAAGTTGGCAAGCAAGCTGCGAAGTAGCAGGCCTGCTTGCAGTGGAGAGAGCTTCTCCGGATCTGCAGTGTTTGCTGAAGATACAGTAGCCCATGCAGAGCCACATGTGTCTAGCGGGTCTGCTGACTCCCAGAGCACAGGAGTGACGGAGACAATCAGGCGAAACCGGATGACTGCTCTCCTGAACCGCCGCAGGACGACTTACGTTTCCGGTTCGCGGAATTTCCGTAGTGGTTTCAAACGGAGGGGGAACAGACAGAGCTGCGACTTGTCGCAGCGGACTCAGATGTCGTCGACATCCAGCGATATCGAGCAAGTTGAAGACTTATGCACAGAAACTCCGTTTCAGGCTGTAGGTTTCTATGGGGGGATACTAATTCAAGGATTTGGTATATCATTGGTAGACCCCACACCTCATGAACTCGCATTTTTTTGCGTCTCGGGAATTCGTTTTGAGGTGGGCAGACTGCACAAAGCAACCGTATACGACACTCGCTTCTCCATAAAATCCCTTCAGATAGACAATGGCGTTCCCGGTGCTCAACATCGAACGATTCTGAGACATGCAACACTTGAAGAAAGAGTGGAGCGGCATGGAGGAAGTAAGGTAGTCCTTTCAGGAGATGGGGCCACTGCGGGAGCCTCCTCTGAAGGCCTGCTATATTCCGTTACTAAGCCGTTGGCAGCGTGGGACCCACTGGAGGAGAACCACGAGGAGCAGCAAGACCTCTTTTTCCGCTTTGAGCTAGGTGGCCAGTGGACGGAGGAGGCGACGCTGCTAGATTATGTTGATGTCGAGCTTACACCAATAGCATTGCATGTAGAGGCGGATACTACGTCTGTGCTCCTTCGTTTTCTTATGCAGCTGGTACAAAACCGGACCTTCTTCCTCATGTCACTGCAGGAGAGCAACATACTGTTGGTGCAAGACGCAGCAGCCAATAAAGTTAGCACTGCTGGGTACCACCAGCTCCGGGCCTTTCCGCAAGCAACACTACCAGTGGCAGGCACCTTAAAGCCTCTGTATATCCATGAACTTGCGATAAGACCTATGCTGATAATATTTTCAACTAGGTCTCAACGCCTGCAGAGGGGACATGCATCCGCAGGACACGGAAATATCTTAGCTATACGTCAGTTTGAAGTTCTTGGAGATCGAATGACTGATATAACGAATTTTCCGATGAAGTCCAGGCTCCTGGCTCAGCAGTGTGTTTTCACAAATGCAGAGCAGCTAGTGACTGATATTGGATATTCTTATATTCAGCAATGCATCTGGCAGCTCCACAAACTGGTGGCGTCGATAGACGTCATCGGAAATCCTCTTCGCTTGATCACGGGAGTGTCTTCCAGCTTGCGGCTCATCACCACTCATCGCTCTGGCGGTACGCTGACTAGGTTGTTGAGCAAGTCGAAAGGGCAGGGAAAACAGCAGTTATGTGGCTAGAACTTGTGGGGAGGGCGCAGATAGCCTTTTACAGTCCAAGTTCACCGGGCAAACGTGAAGGGCCTACACACAAATCATTTATCCCGAGCACGACTACACATTACACAGTTAGTGGCTTGCTGGTAACTTTCCACCTGCTGAGCATATATTACTTAGCACGACTGCCATGTCCGCAGAGGCTTCCAATGCTGAGCCAAGAAGCTGGAGGGCCATTCATTGTATTTCAACGTTGGTGCTGAACTTCGCTAGCGAGTTTTTCACCTCTGTTAGCAACATTGCTGCAGGACTTGTTAAGCTGTTGAATTTATTGGGCCTCACAGACGTACAATGCATTTTATCCGTTTGGCCTGAGTCCATTCGGGTGTCCCGAGCACGGATCGAAAGGCCAGAAACACTTCTGGAAGGCGTTTCAGCAGGTTGTATTGGATTTGTTCAGCTAATTGGAGGCTCCGTACTTGCGCTCCGGCAAATTTACGACCAGGGTGTACTAGAATCAGGCATTTGGCGCCTATTTGCAGGCACTGCACAGCGAATAGCATTCGTTTTAGCTTCTCCGGCTGTTGCCATATTGGTGTTCATCGCAGCTGTTGCTGCAGGCCTCAGCAGCGCTCTGCGGCACAAATCTGTCGTCGAGAAAACCAGACCACGCCGTGTGTTTCCACCAGAAATGACCGTGTCACCGTACATTCTTCATACAGCACGTGCCATGGCTTTACTGGAGGCAAGCACGCAAAAAAGCCTTGTGCCAGGAATGTTACAAACTGGAATAATGTCTTTCCCCTTGCCACAAGCTCGCCCGCCCCGCTCTCGCAGGCAGCACCACGGTGAAGAGAACAGGAAGAATCAAATCAAAGACTATTTGCTCGTGACGTCCGATTTTGTTGTGTGCCTACGCGACGGAAAGGCTCAGTGGGTTTGCCGCAAGGAGGACATTCAGGAATGCACTGTGACAATGCCAGCATATATATTGGGCGCTATACTTGCCCAACAGGATTTGTTCGTGCGGAATAGGGAGAGACATGATGCTGCTTATGCTTATGACGACATATCGCATCGATCAGAAGAGTACGAACGAGCTTCTTACGACCAAGGTAGCTTGTGCGTTGTGCACGTGAAAGTTGCCAATCAGCTTAAGCTGCCGGAGGACGTTCTCAATGACTTCTCTGCTGCGTACAAAGCGTATCTAAGCCATGCCACTGCCAAGCGCAGCGTCGTCCGGGCATTAAGAGACAACTTCAAGGTTCACTTCGGCACCAACGACCCGTGCGCCACTCACACTCCTCATCCAAGTCACGCAACCATCCCACAGCAGCAAAATAGGATGGGTGGAAACGAGGCTAGCAATGCCGTCACTCCGCTGCCTTCATTCGTAGAAGCTATGGCGCGCAAACTTTCAGAATCAAGAAGCATACTATCCAAGGGCCAAAAGCAGCGTGACCAGAGCTGCGCCAGTGCAGAAACAGCTAACTGTGGTCATAGAGAAGAAGGCTCGCAAACATCCGCAAGCCAGCACAGGCCTTCGTTCCTGGGAATGATGCTCAAGTGTCAAGTCTGCTGGAGGCGCCGAATCGCCGGAGGCAGAAGAAATGTGCAACGTGAAATGGAGGCAACTTCGTCATGGGCCTGTGATTGGCTCCGATTCCTTCGTCGAAGAAAACCTTCCTCTGAGCCTCAAGAAGTCACATTTACCGTTCGCACCCCCGATAAAGACATTGCCTTACACGTATTTGATGCTCTCTGCAGTACAACTGAATGCTATTTCGTGGCTAGGCGGAACGCAAGTAACAATGACAACCTGGACTAGTCAGCTGTGCAGCGCTTGCCTTTTCAAGACATGCGGCGCTTCGCTGCAGTTGAGAACAATAGTTTCTTCTTAATCATACAAGGATGCTGCGCCAATCCTGAAGTGCACGAAATCCCCTTTACGCCTTCACAGGTGCGCTCAAAACACTCCCCATCACCCCAAGAAGGCCAGCTGTGGCGCCAAGACGGAGAAAATGAACTCGAGCGAACGGGCACGTTGGTTTTGGTGGGATGCCATGGTGCCAGGCTACACTGTTTAGTACAGTTTACCTACTGGAGCAGAGTAGTTGCATATCCAAATATGTGGCATCCAGCACAGATAAGCGTTCTGAGCTGAATCCACACTATTGTGGCAACGCGAGCCCATACCAACGCAAGGCCCTACCAGTCAGCAGATGTTATTCATGTAAGTTGACCTGTGCTTTTATTTAAGTAACGGCCGTCTCCTAGGGTGCCAAATGCGCAGTGGTCCTCTAGACCGCCAACATCACTACTCCTGCTATGCGCCACGGGGAATAATCTGTGGCAAAGGTCCAGCCTTCCTTTCTTTATGCTGCATAATACCATTCGCGAATCCAGTCGAAGTCACCCACACTAATCTACACATTGCAGTCTTCTGGAGGCTGGCTGGTCTTACACGTTTGTCACCTCTCCTTCGCAAGCTGCTAAAGAGCCCAGGGTAGGACCTTGCGAAGCACCTTGTTTGTTGGTTATATCCCTTCCCCCCACCTGCAGTCCGCGCCTAACTGCTGTTTTCCATTTTACAAGTTTACTGTTTGTAGTGCCCCGCACTATATGGGTTGCCAACAAGCATGCTGAAGGCGTGGCACACAACAGTTTTTGAGATGTAGAACACGAAAGCGCATTGCTCCATTGTGAGCAATCTCGGGGAACCTGAATTTTAATCGATATGAAGTCACGTACGGTGCAGCCGTGTGGCCGTGCGACTGGCTTACTGGCTTGTCCGTGGCAACAGTGTGTCTGCAACTGGCCAGTGGAGCTCACGGTGTTTCACATAGTAACGGGCACTACAAATTTGCACTAGAAAGCTCTAAGGAGGTTCTAGCACCTCTCCGTAACGATTATTATTCGGTAGATCCTGGAACGTTTAGATCCAATGTGTAGGGTCTCCTTGAGATGGCTGCCATGCTGCTGCTGCTGGTATATTCTGAAAAAACAGGATGTTTCCCACGCAAGGGAGGCATCATCATAGGCCACCAAAAAGATCGAGCCACCCGTCTTACTAGTATGTTGGTTTAGCTACGACTTCCTAGCACGTGAACGTCGTTTAGAAGGAGATGCATGCAACAAGAGAAACAGCAGTGTGCAGAAATCAGAGTGCATGCTACGTCTGGTTTTATACGAGATTGTCGTGTATGCTGGTGACTTTACGTTGTCCCTTGTTGAGATTGAGCTTCTCAGACGCGCGACCTTCTAGAGAGTGGTTAGGGACGCAACTTAACAAGGAAACAGATGGTCTCAGGTAAAAGAAGTTGCGGAATAAAAGACTGGACCAATACGGAGACAGGAGAGTTCCTCGTTCATCGCGTTGGTTACACTCCCAGTATACTTGATTGGGAAGGCTTTCTCCAGTGGTCGAAAAACTGTTTTATAGTAGAAGTACTGAAAAGTGTTCGCCATTTGTTTGGGACTGAAGATCGGTTTGAACAGAGAAGTGACGACACTGGGCCCCTAATGGTCGAATATGTACCGGCTCCACTACTTAAGAGAGAACCGTTGAACGCTTCTCTTTGCGTGACGGTTGCCTCTAAAGGGCCAGTAAAGGTCCACCAACCAACTCCTAACAGAATTGCCACTGTGGGGCAGACTATAATGCAACTCCCATATAATGCAACTCCCGGTGCATTCTTGCAACTCGGGCGCAAGCTAACCGTCCAGCACGACTCGAGGATTAATTTTCGAGGACTATCAGGAGCTAAAACGATGCCAAAACCCTTATCATGAATGCTTCTTAGGTGTTACCGATTTCTTTCATCAGTCTTCAGGCGTCCTGAGCTCACAAGCTCAAGCTTCTGGCGGTGTTGCAGAGGAGGTGGCCTGTCATGAGTGACGCCGCCGCACCTTCCTGCATATCGTGGTGCAAAACGGCCCCACCTACAGGCACAAACAAGCTTTCCTTGGTGTATATACCTACACGGTGGACTGTCGTTGAGACCTCTTGCTTTCGTACTCTTTGTGTACCAGGGCCGGGTACGGGTTCATGTGACCCCATAGAAACTTGCCAACATGGCACTGACTATGGTACAAACCCCACATGCAGGCAAACCTGAGCCCCTGTGCAGCATGCACCAATACTGTATATAAATTATTATAAACTTGGTTAACACCCAACATCCATCACTCACGCATGTGGAAGTGCACGAGCTAGATTCTGGGAGAGCCTGTTACAGACCGTGCTACGGCAACTCATTTTGAAAGAACGCGAGACGACGCAGAAGGGGTTGGGGTAGCAACAAGCATGAACCATAACTACAAGTCTGACGTCTCGAAATACATAGGAAGTGCTGTGTTGTAACGCAACCACGACGCCCGCTGCAGAGCGACAAGCGCTGCAGTGAGCGACGCCCCCGGGGGCAGCAGCGGCCCAGACAGCAGTAACAAGGGGCCCCCCGGGGGGGCCCCAAAATGTAGTAGAGCAGACCCCAGTTGAAGGCTCCTGAAGGATAATACAGAAAGACATTGGTAAAAAGACTCTCGCATTCAGCGATAGAGGGAGAGGAGACAGGTTGGGCTGCTACGGTACGCCATCCTACTGCTGCTGCTGCTGCTGCTGCTGCTGCTGCTGCTGCCTAGTGGGGGGCCGGGGCCGGCAGGCCAGTGGCTGAGGCCTGCCGTATCGGAATTCGGGGGCGAAGTGTCTCCTTGGTCTCTGCTGAACAAATAATTAAGAGAGGGACTTCTATATGTAGAAAGAGAGCCTTAGGTTTCTAGGGAACCCAGGAGACGGCCCCCGCATACAAGGACGTTGCTGCAACATCAGCAATAGCAGCAGGAGCAGCGGCAGCAGGACCAGCGGCTGTTGCTGCTGCAGCGGGAGCAGCAGAAGCTTCAAGACACTAGCAGACGAAATATTCGGAATTATTAGTACAACAACAGCAACTGCATCTGCAGCACACTCTGGCGGCTGCCTCCACGGCAGCAGCAGCTGCTGAGGCCTCCTCATCGTAGCGGTGTTTGGGGGGGACGGAGGGCGCTCCCCGGCGCCACCCCGTCTCCTTTTTGCCCTGCGTTTTATTTGTTTAAGCTGCACGCTTTATTCAACGCACCTGGTATTGATTCGGGGTTCCCTGCGGCCCCGCCAGACAGCAAATTCTGCACGGCAGGGCCTCGCGGTGCAGTAGCAGCAGCCGCAGCTGCTCTTCATTTTCATATCCTCCCCATGGCCGCGCTCATTACCGGGACATCTGGGGGCGGCGCATGCAGCCAGTCTCCTCGTGGGAGCACTGGGCCACCGAGTGGCCCCTCCTGTTTCTCCAAAGGACCTACAGCAACTCCAGGGGCGGCGGCAGCAGCAGCTGCTGCCGCCGTTACAGCTGGTGCTGCAGAGGAGGATGCCGAAGGACCAGCAGCGGATTGCAATGGAACAATGTCGATTCCCTTATCCACAGGTGCGGGCAGGAGCTCGCCTCCACAGGAGGATCTGGGATACACAAGGGCTCCGCTACTGCCTCCATGCTTACACGGGGTAGCAGCAGCAGTGGTAGCGACAGGGGCCACAGGACCCTCATCAAAAGCGACGGACACAGAATCGGCGCCAGCAGCAGCAGTAACGACAGGAGCAGCAACAACAGCTGGCGGGAAGTCATACAACTGGTTGGCAGCATCCCCTACAGCAGCAAGCGGCTGGAGGTCGCCCCCCATGTACTGCAGTACTGCTGTGTCCCCTTCTTCCCGCTGCGAGCAACTGTCTTGCTGTGGCTCTCCGGCCAGTAGATGGGGTGAATGCTGTTGTTTCTCAAGCCTCCAGTTGCAGCAGCTGAGGTACGCAGAACAGCCCATGCGACATCTCGCCGCAGCAGCAGCTGCCTCAGCAGCAGGTACCCCCGTAAGTGCTTTTGAAGAAGTGAAGGCCATCCGGCAGCAAGGTGACGACTATAGCAACAGCTGCTGCGGAAGCAGCAGCGGAGGAAAAGACGCATCGCCAGCAGGCCATCAGGAACAGGGGGCCGCGGTGAATGCGGCCGGAGCTGCACCAGCTGATGGTGTTGCTGCTCGAGCAGCAGTAGCAATTCCTGCCGCTACAGCCCCACTCCCCGAGGATAAACCAGCTGCTCGCCACACCTCTGCTGCAGTAGCCAGTATTGAAGGGCATCTCCCCAAGCGACAGTATGCATGGGCTTCTGAGGGGCTTGCTGCTGACACATCAGAAACAGCTGAAGCAGAGGCTGTAACAGAGATTACAGCAGATACTACTGCATCAAGTGCTGTTTCTTCAAGAAGTGCAGAGAGAGCGGCAGAAATTACTCCCATGGCTGCAACAGAATCCGCGAACACTAACGCAAGAGCAATATCAATTACGACAGGTGCAGCAGCAAGCGTTGCAACAGAAGCAGCAATCGCCGCCGCAGCAGCGGGCCCTTCACCACGAGCATCAGCTGCGCCAAGAGCAGTAGCTACGGAAGAAGCAGCCACTGTAGCAGAGGCAGCACCTGCAGCAGAAGAGGTGGCTGGTGCTGCTGCAGCATCGTCCGCGGCGCACTGGAGCCGTTCGCCGCAGCAACCCGTGGCAGGGGATAATGCAGGGCGGATTGCATCACCAGCAGGAGCAGCAGCAACAACAACAACGGATGAAGGAGCAACGGCAAGTGCAACCACGACGCCAGAAGGGGCGGCAGAAGAAGACGCAGACGGCTGGATTGCGGTGAAGCCCCGACGACAGCGCCGCTGGGTTGACTGGCCCATCTCCGACGATGAAGACAGCAGCGTGGTAAGCAACCCAAAACTCAAAACCTCAGACCCGAATCCGTAAACCTTAAGCCCTAGACTATAGGCGGTACGCCATAGGTAGGGGACCCGTGATATTGGGGATCTGACGACAGGTTACTGCAAGGCTCCACGCAGTTTTACTCAAAGTGTTGTTGCACTTGTTGGTTTTGGTGTCTGCAGCGCCGATTCCCTCGGAGGCCCTACCACGTGACCCCTGTTGGTATACAGCGACAGTCGCAGCGCCCTGGGGGCCCTCCCGCTGCCAGGAGGCCCTGCAGCTATGTAGACAGAGGTCCTGCAGCAGCAGGAGCAGGCACCAGGCAGTACCGACACCCCAACCTTGCATGCCTCTTCAGCGCTGCTGTTACCGCTGGGCTGGTCACTCCAAAGAGGGACATTCAAGTTTTGCCCAGCGAGCAGCAGCAACCCCAGCAGCAGCAGGAAGCCATTCTGGAAGACGACAGGGACTTCCAGCGACCGATAGGGGCCACTTGGCCCCCCCAAAGTTGCGGATGGCATCTGTGGTAAGTGTGGCAGCACCAGTAGCTGCACCAGCAGCTGCACGCTCTGGTTGCCTTCTGGTTGCAGCAGCTTTGTGAAGATAGTGTTTTGTGTTGTGTTGCGGATGCTGTGTTCAGGCATGACCCCATAGGGAACGAGGGGACCAGCAGCAGTAAAGGCACCAGCAGCAGCACCAGAGGACGGCTGCAGGAGGACTACCAGAGGGGCCTTGTGCAGATCGGTAGGTCGCTGGTTTCATGCGACTCAGCATATTCATCGTCCTCAGCACTGCCGAAGCACCAACAGCAGCAATAGCAGCACTGGGAGCAGGGGCAGGGGCAGCAGCAGCAGCTACACATAACTTCATGGGAATAGACTTCCGCTTGTGCTCGTGTGTGCGTATCCCTGTGTGTTGCGAAAGGGCGTGTGGGGTCGGCACGGGGTGTCGTAGAATTGTGGAATTTGCTGTCAACTCGGGCTCTGGCGCCTCCAGTGAACATAGCGGCTTGTGTGGGAGGCTGCCTGCCTCTGTGGGAGGACCCTGTGAATAGGGGTGGGGGCCACTTCGTCATTAGAAACCTTGCCGGAAAATCTCAAGCAGTGGTGAGTCCCTGCTGACTACGGTGGAGTAGCAGCTTTCATTTCCCTCGGCAGCACTGCGTTTGATCTACGCCCTTTGCCTCTCGTCTGTTTAGCGCTGTTTGTAGCGAATTGCTGGTTTGTTGTCTCGCTTTTGCTATTTTACATTCGGACCCCTTGTTAAGCAGTACCAGCTGCAGCTGCTGCTGCTTAGCCTGCTGCTCTTGTGTCTCGCCATTGGGCACAAGGGGGATCTCCGAGGCCTTTCTCCGGTGCAGAGGCGGCTGTATTGTGTGACAGTGGTGCGTACAGGGAGTGTTTTTGCTTCTGCTGCGGTCTCTCGAGCAGAAGCAGCAGCGCAACAGACGTCCCTTGAAGGCCCTGTTGTCCACCCTTACAGGAATAGTGCTCTGTCTCCGCAACAACGACAAGAGCCACAAGGTGGAGGTGAGTGGCTCTGTAGAACCGCTAGCAGCAGCTGCGGCAGTTGCTGCCGCAACAGCAGCCACTGCTGCAGGGAGTGTCCCTGTACCGTTGCTTCGAATGCTGCAGTTTAGCCGCTGTTGATATTTACTGCTGCTGCAGTTGCTGCCGCTCTCGCTGCTGCTGCTTCTTTCAGGTGTGGGTGAGTTCGACGGCTTGCCAGACGCTGCGGCAGCAGGAGTCGCAGCTGCGGGAATTCCTGAGCTCTGCGGCAGTTGGGCTGCACCGTCTGGACTATGCTTTTTTATCGCACGAGGCTTGCTTAACGAAGCATCACCGGAAGGTGAGAAGGCAGAAACCTGCCCAGACACTTATGACGGTTGGCACCCAGCTAGAGGGTCCCAGTATACCGAAAGTTGGAGAGAGCAAAAGCTTTTTGTAGCAGTTGTGGTTAGCGGGGTCACCCGCGGCTGTGCCTTCTGCCCTCTGCGCTGCCTACGCATTACTTCTACTGTTGTTGCTGTTCTCGTTGCTGCTGCAGCTGCGCCTTAAACCGCAAAGACGGGAACCGGAGGCGTTGCCAGCAACTGGTGGGGAGACGGATTCTCCACAGCTGCAGAAGCAAGGGCAACAGCAACAAGAGCAGCAGGAGGAGCACCCGCAGCAGCAGGTTCTTCCCGCAGGTGCCGCAGAGGCCAACGCAGCAGCGGCGCGGGGGGCATGCACAGGCCCAACCTGCGACCTCCAACCGCATACCGAAGGGGCGTCGTGTGCGTTTGAGAGTGTGAGCACTGACACGGGAAGCTCCCGCCGCAGCAGCAGCAACAAGGGGGAATTTTGCCGCAGCAGCAGCAGCAGCAGCGGCAGCAGCAGCCTCGCAAGTCTTTGCTGTGAGACAGGCTCGCATGCAAGCTACAAGAGCGTCATCCTCAGAGGCAGCCACACAGGGAGGCAGGTACAGCGGTGCGGTGTCTCACCAGCTACCACGGTTCCCGAGTTTCCCATTAGCACCAACAACAGCGGCAACAACAGCAGCGCAGGGGCGAATGTGGTAGAGGATGAGAAAGGGGCGGGGCGCAAAGACAGCGCGGACACTTTGCCCCAACCGAATAGACAGCAGGGACGGCTGCAACAGCAGGTGTTGGTGTCGCAGCGAGATCGAGCTGCAAACAGCAACAGCAGCAACAACAGCACCAAGCTGTCAGCTTCGTGTGGAGGGGTTTTGAATGTTGCTGCAGGGAAGTTGGCGGGTGCCTCCGCTGCCAGCGGGAGAGAGACAGCGTATGTCTCGGAGGGTGCAGCAGCAGCAGGCGTCGCAGCAGGTGCAGCTCCAGTAGGAGGCTCAGCTGCAGGTGCAGCAGGTGCAACATCAGGTAGTCGGGTGTCTCGTGGTGGTGGTGCAGTGGGCAAGAAGCTAGGGAGGCAGAAAAACCCAAGGAGACAGTACGGGGCGTGTGTGGGTAGCGAGAGCCTCCGGCCTGAGCAGCAACTGCTGCAGCATCTTTATTCTTTTAATGCCAGCGACATCCCCGATTACTTCTCAATGCAGCAGGCAGCATATCAAGGCCGTGCTGCGGTTTATCAGAGCTACGCTGCATGTGCGTCTGCTGCCGTCACCGCCGAACAGGCTGCTATTGTTCAGCAGCAGCAACAGCAACAAGCGGGAATCACGTGGGACTTCCCTCCTCTGTCCTCTTCCGCAGCTTCTCCTGCGGCTGCCGCGGCTGCTGCTGCTGCTTCTTCGGGTAACGGCAGTACTCAAGGCCAAATACAACATGAAAGGCAGAAGAAGATGGAGGAAAAGGGCGCAACGGGCGCCATAGAAAATGCCAGCAACAGCGGCACGCAGCAGGCCAAGCAGTTTGCTTTTAATCCATACGCTCCAGGATTTGTCATGCCCGCCCGTCCCCTTTCGACTTCTCCAATGGTGGCAGAAACAGCAGCGGCAGCAGCGGCTGCTGCGGCTGCTGCTGTTGATGGCGTGGAGGATGTCAGTGAGTGTTGCACTGCAGCAGCTGCTGAAGTGTCCAGGAACTTGCTGCTGCAGCCTGCCGCCGTAGCGGACGCGAGCACCGTCTCCTCTGTTGCAGCTTCACTCGTGAGTGAGTGTGATTCTGCTAGTGGTGGTGGTACTCCGACAGAGGCAGAAGCAGCAGCAGCAGCAGCAGCAGCTGCTGCTGCTGCTGCAGGCTACGTAGGGGGGTTGCTTGACGCAGACTTTGTGGACCCGCAGGACCCCTCTTCTCTGCTTCTGATAACTCTGATGCTGCATCCCGCCTTAGATGAGGGAAACCCGCTGCAGGTGCCGCTGCTGCCGTTCGCGAGGTTCGATGGGCAGGCTACTGCTGTGGAGACGCCGGCAGGCGAGACACAGGAGACGCAGCAGCCACAGCAGCTGCAGGAACAGCGGGACGGGGAGGGCGGCGGCATAACCCCATCGCAAATCAGCCTCACCTTGGACTACGAGGAAGTCACTCAAACACTTTCAGTAGACATTCGGCAGGACTAAGGAGCCGGCTGTCTGTCTCCTTTTATGTCTCCATCTTCTTTATGTGCCATTTGGTCTCTTCCGTTATTCTTTTTTCCATGAAGGCAAGAAGAGAGATTATCTACAGCCCCGCAATAAGAGGGCCAATGACCGAGGGACCCACCCGCACCATTCACCCTCTTGTTCTTGGAAGATGACTCGCAGGCTGCAAAGCTGCTGCTGCATAAGTGCAGCAAGGAGTAGGAAGCTGAGGAGCAGCAGCATCATAGGAGCTGCAGGAACAAGGGCTGTAGCAGCCGCAGCAGCTACCGCAGCCAGGAGTTGATTGTCAGGTGCACAGCTGCTGGTCGCCTGACCGCCTCTATGTGACTCACCGCCCCACACTACGCAGTATCATTTTTCTGTCTCCCTGGGCTTTGTCTGAAGCCAAGTTCTGAGCCGGGCCCCGCTGCTGTCTGCTGCAGTGGTGCACTTCCCGCCGCCGCAGCAGCAAAATATTTTGGTGCGGATGAGCAGCAGTAGCAGCAGCAGCAGCAACTGTGGGGAATGCGACTCGTTCAGTAACCTCAGTAGCAAACTAGTGCCAGGTTCGAAGGATACCAACGGCCTTTCTTCGTTTATATCTGTCGTATGTGTTGCAGCTCCGGCGCACTGTGTCGCTGGAGTCTCTTCAGGCCCTTATATGAGTGGCTGAGTAAATACTCGGGTTTCGTCTGCCCCCTTGTGTTGGATGGGCGTGTGTTAGCGAGCTGCAAGCCCAAGGGGGGGAGTTGCAGCTGAAGAGAGAGAGATAATGATTGTGTGATGGGTGCTGTCCCTTGTTTTGTTTAAGTGTGTGAGGGCCGCAGACCCTCCTGTATGTAGTCGCGTGGCTTGTTTTAGAGACACCAACGACGAGGGAGTAGTCGTCTTAATCCCCATAACCCACGTCCATCTGCGGCCGGGCAGCGTTTGTTTCTTTATCACGGGTTTTGAAGGCGCATAATGCAGCAAGCAGGAAGGGGGACAGAGGGGATGGTCTGTCTGGCCCCCGGGCTCTGCCCTTTGCTTCCTGGTCTCTTATGTGAGGCCCGCTTCTCAAAAGAGACACATACTGCAGGCTGTCGTGCTGACGCAGAGACAGCTAAACATTTTGACACCCGCCAACGCGCGAACCCGCTTCTGAATGCTGTTTTAGTATTTCGAGCGTACCTTACAAAGAAGCGTATAAGGATTCGCTGCAGCAATTGAGTTGCTGCAACTACTCAGCTACCGGAGCCGTTGGACTGTGGCAGTTGCTGCAGCTACACGAAGCCAACGTAGCACCGTGGAGGTATGCTGTGGCTGTTAGGATACAGTTCATGAGCCCAACATCCCTAGAAGGTCCCCACAGGTGGCAAGTGAAAGACTGCACCTACAGTTGCCTGCCGCAGCTGCTGCTGTTGTACGTTCTCCTGCAGCAGACAGGTGCAGCGCAGCCTCCTTACAGGAGGAGCAGCAGAAGAGTAAGCGCGTATCGATCAACGTTGACCCTATGGTGGCTATGCAGCTGTAGCACAGCAAGCTTCCGTGTGCGCTCAGTCCCGAGCGAGAGCAGCATCCCGATGCTGCTGCTGGTGCTTGTTGCGCTCGGACATTTCGCCTACAGACAGCAGCATGCGTGTCACCCCGCCCTTCCAAGCGCTACTCCTAGGCAACAAACGTAAAAAAAGCGTGTGACCCTCCGCTGTCGGGTCTGGAATTAAGGTTAGGTTACTAAAGAATGCTTCGGATTTCCCCCCCTGCCAACGAAAAAAATGCAGAGCAGGGCGGAGTGCAGCTGCCGCTGCTTCTCTTGAGTGGCAATGACATTAACAGCTGCACGCAGTGGCAGTGCAGGCGGCAGAGCCGGGGGCCATCAAGGCCCTTCTACTAACTATACGCCTATATTAGAGAGGCCAAATGCTGCACCAGGAGATCAAGAAAAACACCTTCCGCTGTAAAATGCGTCTATCTACGGAATTGTTGGTGCGCCCTTAGTCAGTGCGCCTGCTTTTGCTGTTTTGGGCTTTTCCCTGTTTGCTGCTGCTGCTGATAAACACTGTGGGACCTGCTGAAGCTCCTTTTTAGCTGCACCAAGCCACTTGCAGCGAAAACCCTTTTGGGGTATCCGCTATTGCTCTTCTTGCCCTAAGGGAGTGTCTTTTCCAAATCCCGGCTTCCCGTAAAATTGAAATATTCTCCAATTCAAGGCCCTTGCCTGTGCAGAACCTCCAGCTTTTAGAAGCAGCCAAACAATGCTGTGTGTGGTATCGCTCCTCGACAGTCCGCTGCATGCAGCAACAGCTGCGCCCAGTATCCAAAGTCGGCATGGTTGCGCTATTTTGTGAGCAGCCTGCGGCTGCTTCAGAGCCGCTGCGTAGAATGTGCCTGAGAGGGACCTGGCGAAAAAGGAAACTTTAGAGGTGGTATGTGTACTGGTGCTCAGTCTCCACCGTCTGCTGTCCCCCCTCCCCCAACAGCGTGAATGGCGCTGCTCTTGTGGCTGTGCGGCCCCACAGCTACAGTGCCAGGCACCGCGGCATTCGTCGGCGTCAGGGCACTGCATGCACTCTATAATCAAGGTCCGAGTGCATGAGAAGCTGGTGACAATGTCTGAAGTATCCTCTTTGTTGCATGCTTCCTGCGTCATTTTTCGCTTGCTCTCTCTCCACGGGACCTCCGGCGGAACCGCCGCCCTAGCGCACGGAACCACCTGGCCAGCGAGGCCCATGCTCTGCGTATAGGGGAGGTAAAACAGGAAGACTCATTGCAAGCTCCATGAGATACGACCTTCTCAGGCACAGCTGTTGTGACAGCGAATTCTTTAGTATCCACGCTGGTGAGCGTTGGCTGTTCCGTAACATCAAATCGCAGCACTCCCGCGTCTCCCGCTGCTGCAACTAACGACAGAGGGGACGTCAGATCCGTTCCTATCTCCCCAGCAGCAGGCAGCACACTTTCAGGATCCGAAAGCCGCGCCAGCCTGCCTGTCAAGACAAATGTTTTTCTCTGAATTTCTCCCTTCCCTTCGACTGCCAGCCGTCCCACATCCAGTTGAAACGTCGCCTTAAGAATTCCTGTTAACAACGACAGCAGCAAAAGCAGCAGCAAGAATTGATCCACAGACACCCACCAACACTACGACCTGCTTTAAGGAGAGATACAATGCCAAACGAGTTTTAGTGAACTAACAAGAACCAGAGAAACACGAGATACGCCATGCGACAGCAGGAGGGCTTTCACTTCATGGAAACTGAGGGGTACTTTGGGATTTAAGCACGAGGAAAGAAGATATAGCCGACAAGCAGGTCCCTCACCATGCTGTAGATGCCATTGAGAATGTACTCCGCGCGTCACTTTGCCCCAGCCACTGCTGCTCGCACAGGCAAAGTTTGGGTACCGCAGCAGTACGGGATCTCCTCTTATCGAAGGCCACATCAGCAGCAGATTCGACACCTTCCCTGTAAAGCGCAGCTGCACCGACTGCAGCGCCGCGTCTGCAGCAAGCACCACACCCGCAATTGCTTCACACCTTACCAGATTGTTCTCCCCCCCTCTACTGTGATGCGCCAAGACAGGAAACAAAACTCAAAATACTTCCAGACAGGCTGCCCATTGGGTCGCGACTGCAAATTAAGAAGACCCTTCTCGCGAGGTCGTCCTGCAGCCCCCTGTCCAGTTGTCTCCGCAGAAGGCGCTGCAGGGGTACGACCGTCGCTGTTGTTCTTCTGGCAGTAATTGGGTCGTATGGCTAAAATGGCTCTTGCTAACGGGCCTCCTCCCTACCATAGAAGCACATAGGGTTGGTTTCATCGCTTCTGTCGCTCTCTCCCGGAAGCAGCTGTCCCACTTGAAGGAGGAGCATTCGTTTACCAGGCGGCCCTTCCTCTACCTGTGCGCCATATGCAGAGATACCCAGCAAAAGAATTTGAAGGCCTCAGGCACCCAGAAATTCCCCAATGCTATATGCTTACTCCACACTGTGTAAACTGAGATAATCAATGCACACTTGAACGTATACAGTAATGTATACAGTAATGTATAACACTCATGGTTCCTGTGGAAAAGGCATGAGCACGAATAGCATCAGCCCCGCGTTCTTTTGCGGCAGGTGAACAGCCGCAGCCCCACTTAACCGCCGAGCCTTTGCGTATGCACTACCCAAGGGATGGAGAGAGGCGTTGAATGGAGGCAGCGGTAAAGCGGGACAGTAACTTGCCATCCAGGCGTTGGCGAGCCATTTGGAGAGGGCGAATCTGTGGACGAAGCCGTGTTCCAGCACTTTTATTTTCTCGATGGGGTCTCGAAGAGATGAAAAAGGTATCTCTTCTCCCTGCACCTGTCTCCTCCTGACCTGCTGCAGTAGGGGCCGGTCGCTCACGCAGACCGACTCCACTGTCTCTGCTGCGTCCTCCCTGATTGTAGCTTGCAGGTCAACTCGCTGCGACTTGTCTCCTTGTGTCTCCGCTGCAGCCGTGGACTCTCCAGGCAATGCATTCTCAAGGCCCCACGGTGAATTAGCCTCAGTCTCCTCCTCCTCTTGGCCTGTGGATACGGTTGTGCCATCCGAGACTTCCTGCATGCCTGAGTCTTCAAGGCTGCCGTCTCCGTTGGGACCGGGGGCACTTGTCTCCTCCTCTCCTGCCTTCAGGTCTCGCTCGAAGTCCTCGAAATGGGGCCGCACGTCCATTTGAGTAGTGCCCCCCGTAACTGGCGGGGGACCCTCCCCCACCAACTTCTGCAGGTACTCCAAATAGGCCAAAGGGTTGTCGTGATTCCCCACAGTAAAGTTACACCGCGGAAGACGCTGCCGATTGCCCTCAGGCAACTTCGCTGCGGTGCTATTGACATCTACATGCGAGCAGATGGGGCTGCGCATATCCAAGCCCTCCGGGCCCTCAAATGCCTGAGCCGCAAACAGAGACACCGACAGCAGATAACGCGCGCAAAAAGGGACACAAGAAAGAGATCGTCAAGCGGAAAATTTCGCAGAAGCAGCACTGTTGAACGAGGGTTTTTCATCTGTTTGTACATACTGCAGTTGAATCCTTGCAACACCACTACACTTATCAGGAACTTGACACAGTGAAGCGACCGAGTAAGGGGGCTCAGGGAGCCGTGAAGGCTTAGGAGAGAGTGCATGGACAAATCTAGGAACAGGGCCTTACCACAACTACTGTGCTACCGAACTGGAAGGATCCCATCTCCTGCCCCATGCAGAAGTCAACAGGGCGATCGTAGTCGTAGACGAAGGTCTTGCGGAGGCGTGCGCATGCAGGGGCAAGGAGGAACTTGTTCTTGTCGAGGTGTCTGCGGTAGTGCAACTGGATGCCTCCAACCATACTCGCAGCAACAAAAGTCATCGAAAAGAACAAACGGGATCCCCCCATGTTGCCTGGCTGCCAAAAGCCCTGTACAGAGGTCCGTTCGAAGGAGTCGAGGACGTTGCGGCTTAGAAGCATGCGGCGCTGCACCTGAAATTTGTTTAGCAACCCAGTACAGAAAGACTAGCTGGCATAAGGAAGCATATATCGCGTTACCATGCACGAACACACGCCTACAACACTCCAAAAAGCTCTATGATAGCATACTGGCCTTGCACGTGCATATAGCCCCACACCGCCCAGTTCGACCGGCGGCCACTGGATTGAACCTCTAGGTGCATGCTGAGCGGAGGGAAGGGGGGGAGTATCCTGTGGTCGCAGGGTTTAGGGGTTAAAGCTTAGCTTACGGAGGGGGTGCACCCTGGAATGTAGATGTGCCTTGTAGCCGCCCAGTCGGCGGCGGAGTGGAAGCGGTGGTAGTCTGCCGGCGCTAAGTAGTACACCAGTACGTACAGCCGGTTGTTGGGGCTTTGCAGCTGTAAATCTGCGTTTGTCCCTCTACCGAAGAGGAACTCTGACAGATCAAAAGTCGTCCCTTTCACCTACATGCAGACAAAGACAATCCCTGCTGCCTCGCTAAGACACCCTCCCGCAGCCTAAAGCCCCAAACACAAACGAAGCCCTGTAGGCTGATAACCCCCAACATATTAACTGCAAGCAAATCCATGCATGTACTCGGGTGCACGCACAAAGACACACATCAAATGCACTGCTGCAGGAGTCAAGAAAAGGAAACAGTGTAAAGAGGCAACGACGGTTTACGACACAGGGCGTATACATCTACAGGCACACACGATATCGAGGAGATAATCGTCCCAATTACACAACTCAGACTAGGCTAAAAGGCTTTAGTGTAGCCACCTTAAAGGTGACCCGGTGAGTATATGCTTATGCCACCCCTCCTCCTGCTGTCTCTCTCTGATGCGAGTGTAACTAGTGTCTCCTTTCAGTGTCTACTCCTCGTCAGGCGAACAGGCGGTTGGCGACTGAGACACTTGGCGTGTGGCAGCTAAGGAGACAGGAGCAGCTAGCTGAGCCGGCAGCAGCAACGGGGACGGGTGGCGGTGCCTCCTTTCTCCTCCTACCTGGGGTACGCGGGCGCCAACCACCTTCCCGTGCGCATCAGGCTTTACAAAGAAGGCGTTTTGCAAGACGGAGTCCGCAGGAGATACAACAGCGGCATTGGCGTCTACAGGCCTTAAAACATCTGTATTAATTGGCCGAGAAAAGAATCTCCCGATGTTCGGAAAATGCCGCCGGCCTGGAGGCCAAGTCTGCGCGACACTGAAGGCCTCCTCCAGGTCTGCAGCAGCACGCACCCACGCTCCCAACCCCACTGGACCTTAAACAAAGCAGCCACATTACAACGCCACGAACAGCTTACAGATTTGTTGTGTTATGTGTGGTCTGCAGGGTGTCATGTAGTAGGACAAACCCGTTGTATGCATGTGCTCCCCATAAACCCCAACAGCTACTCAGCCGGGAGGCCCCTTGGAGGGGCCCCCGCTGAACCCCGTTTCCTCGTCGTATTCACCTATGTTTGTCATTGCAGCAAACCGCCACACAAAACAAGGAGTCACCCGCAGCCGCGCAAATAGACCTCCAATGCGAGACAACATGCGGGTGTTATCCAAGAAGAAGTAGCGGAAAAATCCACGCCCTGCAACACAGTTGGCAACAGCAGCAGCAATACTCGCCAGAGTAGTAACGACAACTGCACTGGGAGCTACGGCAAAAAAAAGCACTACCAGTGCCTCAACAGGAGTACGTGCAGCAAGAGCCGCAGCTCCGGCAGCAAGAGCACCAGTTTGCAGTAACAGCAAGTGCTGCAGCAGTATCAGCAGGATTGCAAGCCCCTCCCTTAAAATGTGCCGCGAATGAGGCTCTCGGGACTGCCGGGAGGCCCCCACAAACGACAGGGCCCCTGTGGTCAAGGAAAGAGTTGTCTCTTCCCTATTATTGGGGCGACGGAAACGAATACCGCCGTCTCCCTAACATGGAGACAGTTGTTTAATCGGTGGCGGCCTACCATAGCGACTGCGAGCATTGGCGGGTAGCAGCGGCTTCAACCACAACACAACAACACACAGGACTCCGTAGCATGTGCACCAACCCAGCAGCAGCGCAGCAGTTGCAGCTGCAGCAACAGGGATGGGAAGGAGACTCACAGCTTCTTCCGTCTGCACGTGTATTGGTGTCTCCTTCATGATTGCTTCGTTTTGCGGACCCCTAAACCATTGAATAAGCGCAACTGTTGGGTCCTGCTCAGTGTAGATGTTGCGAGGACCGCGAGAGACAAGCATATTGATTTCTGCTTGCCCTGCTGTATCCTCAGCAAATGCTTCCTGCAACTGTCTCCTTCCCACAGAAGAGATACGGAGGGGGATTTTAGCCCCACAGTAGTAGGCGCTGGCCTTTAAGGGAAAAGAAAAGATATTTGCAGGGAAATGCTTTAGGCGTCCCTCTTCTACGTTCCTAAACTCAGCGCTCCTGTAAACATCATTCGGAAATAAGAGACTCAGTGCCTCGTTGCTAGGCTGCAGCAAGGCGACAGGTGCGCCTGAGGCGTCCTGAAGCCAGGAAGGAGACACTTCAGGAGACCCTTGCAGCAGCGCTTTCACAGCATCGATGCCGCGGCCCCCCTCTAATGGCTGCAGCACCAGCAGCGGCAGGTTTGCTGCATCCACTCGAGGCAGCAAGTCTAAGAAGCGACCATCTATAGGCACATATTTTGAGCCTCTCTGCACGACAAACAGCATACAGTAGCACCTGCTGCTGCAGCATATGCACCCACGGGAGCAACAGCAACACCGCCAGCTGCTGCAGCAACAAAACAAATGAGACGGCAAGAGCAACAGCAGCAGCACCAACACCAGCAGAAAATCTTATGGCACCCAAGCAACACAGCATCCCCCCAATCCTTGTTAATCCCGTTGTCGTGCCTCCCCGTAGCAACACAGCAGCAGCAGAGCATGCAGCAGCATTCACAGCTGCTACAAGAGGATATTTCCCTCTATCTGGGGTGTCTATGAGGCCTTACCTTTGCTGTCGCTTTGAGCCGTGACCCCATGATTCTGTCTAAAGGCGTTTGGCTGTCCACCCGCTTCTTCCAGAAGGCCAGTTTAGCCATTATGTTGTCTGCATGCAACTGCACGGTATCTGTACACCCCGACAAAGCAGCAACCGTAGCTGAGAGGTTGCCCACAGTCGCCCCATAGGTCCACCGTACGCAGGCGCGTCGAGGCCTGCAGATACAACCGAGCAGCAGCAACGACATGCATGCAAACACCTCCAGAGATACTCCAGGAACCACCAGCAGCTGCTGCAGCCCCGGCAGAACCTGTACAGCAGCAGCAGCCGCCATAGCCGTTGTATTTCTGCGGCAGCTGCAGAAATACAACGGCTTCAGCATCAGTAGCAAGACACAAGCAGCACGAATATCCCATTTCCGACAGAACCAGCGGCATCTTGCTGAGCTCCCAGCAGCAGCAGCAGCGAAAACCCATGGGCTTACGTTTTATGCAAAGATAAAATGACATATTTCCCTGAACAAGAAAAGACATGGGCATCATCGCGTTTCTCTGGCGTTTTGGATGCCAGAGTGGGGGGCAGCACACACAAGGCCACCAGCAACAGTAGGGACTGCAGCAGCAGCAGCAGGCCCCTGCTCCCTCTTAGGAGAAACATTCTCCTTTAATATATGTGTAATATAGCGAAGAAGTTGAAAATATAGTAAATAAAGGAATTCGTGCTCAGGGCAGCATGGGGCCTTCTTTGGGAGGCCGCTCGCCGTGAGAGGCAGGCCTGCCGCGCCCCTAGTTGCAACGCAAAAAAAAAGCTATTTATTTATTTAAAATGTATTTTCAAATTAAAAACAAATCAAAAAAGGAATCCAAGTTGCTGCGGGTGCTCTATAAAACAGTCGCAAGAGAAACCCCGGGGCCCTCCCTGCACACACAGGGCCGAGCCCGTATGAGGCTGTTGCCCACTGGTACGCTGCTGCCGTTGCTGCTGATGCCGTTACTGTGTCTTCCCTCAGTACGCAAAACCAACGAAAAGTGGGTGTTAACTGAGTTATTTAAATTAATTTCTTATCCAAATATTCTATTATTAATGCATGAGCCAAAGGAGAACTATAGGAATCTGCCCTAGAAGGGAGAGGGGGGAGATGCGGTCACCGAGGGCGTTCCTTATTGTGTTGAAGGAGAACTGGAAAACTCTCATTATTCCTATGTTTAGGGCTATACAATTTTAAATCAAGGACTTATTTGGTTCCGTTTCTAGTTCCTTTGTTCGCTGCTGCAGCTGCTGCTTCTGCCTCTCCGTATTTTGCCTGATAATATGAGCCCATTGCTCCTTCGCGCTGCTCTCCAGCAACCAAGAGTGCATGCCGACCAAACAAAGAACCAAAAAAGTATTTCTTTAGGTACTGCTTTCACAGGGTGTTGTCGCACGCAGCAATTGCCTATGTGCCTAAATATATATACACATACGTATATACAGGTACATATTATATGTGTGCATTGTTTACTAACTTCCATCCATGTATGTATGCAAATGGGGCCTTTAGACCCCTTTAAACAAACAGCAAACATTACTTTAAAAATGTATGCAGGAATATAACAACAAATGGTTTACAATTAAACAGCATGAAAAACTCTTTGTCCCTCTTAGGGTACCGGTGAAGGAGACAGGGGACAGCACTGCCTCAATATTTGTCTCCTCGTCGACCTCATCGCCTGCATGCTTCCAAATATGGGCTGCAGGGTTGTCCCCATCAACAACTGTGTCCCTTCTTCTGTCTGTCTCCACAGGCTGTCTCCTGTCCGTTTCTATATTTCTTCCTGCGTGAACACTCGGGTTATGAACAATATTTATATTTACATTTATACTTAGTTACATGTATATTTATATATACATTTGTATTTATATTTGCATTTACATATGTATTTATATACACATTTATTAAGAATATATATTGTGGGTGTTCCTCCTGATTTTTTGTCCCTCTCCATCTAGGAGCACTTCACCGGGTGCCTCGTATTCCTTATGGATCTCTGCAGTTTGCTGTTTAATTGCCATCTGTCTCTTTAGAGTTGTCCCCTTGGCAAGCTTAGCAACTTAATGCACCAGTAAGAGAATATAAGTAAAAGGGACACACAGAGGAAAGAGAGATATGGCAGAGAAGGGACCGTCTCCTCCGCATGGCAGATACTTTAACTGGCAGTTTAGAAGCTCTTTTTCTGCTCTATGCTGGTATGACAAAGGAGATATTGCTTCCCACATTTCTGCTTAATTGCACTAACAAGAGGAATTTGCATGCAGCAGCAAGGGGGTTTGTGGCTGCATGGCAGAAAAGAGACAGTCTCCACTGCTCGGCACATACCTTAACTCGCAGTTAAGAAGCGATGCGGCCTGCATACAAGCGGAGTATCTCTTGCACGATGAGCTGCATCAAGAGATGCGGGGGAGACAGCACACGTCAGGTGTCTCTTCTGTCCCCTTTGCTAGATTATTACATGCAACCCGAGTCCTTTTCTGTTGCATTGAGGTTGCAGAGAAGAAGGGCATCGAAGCATTTACTGTCTCCTTTTAACTCAGCTAAATCGTCCCTACTGCCAACAACAAAAATTGTCGTATATATCGCTAACAGACAGCCCCTTCAAGCCCGTACAAGGGGCTGTTGCACGCATGCATGGATGCGTATGCTGCAAACAAGCACTCTGCTTGTGAGGGATCTGCTTGCGGAGGGATCTAGCTGCAGCCTCGGTATGAATGCATGCGCAAATGCGTGCGTAAATGCATGTATGAATTCATCCTTGCATGTGTTCATCCATCCGTGCATGCATCCATCCATCCATCCAGCGACAGCTACAGGAGTGCTACGTTGGAGAATACCACTGTGGAGAACGGCTTTAACGGCCTTCCTTTCCTTCTTAAGAGGAGTAACCATTTAAATAAACTTTTCTCTAGCAGAGCATATGCTGGTGCATTTCTAACTGCACGTATGTATGCACGCAGAATGACGAACTTTACAGTAGGAGGCAGGTAAAGAGGTCTTATCTAACAAGATAGTCGCTTCTCCAAAAAGTTGTTCTTCTAAGTCAATATATTTTCCTTTCGCACATATTTAATGCCACTTATAGTCTTGTTTAATAGGAACTAGCTTCTGCTGCAGCAGCAAACATATCCCTAGAGGTAGCAGGGGAGGCATTGGGGCTGCATGCGGGCATGGCCCCTGAAGGGAAGGTTCTAGTCTCCTCTACTTGGTTTTTGTTGCATCTCTTTAGGACTTTGCTTTTATTTGAATGCCATCAACAGCATGACAGGGCAGCAGCAGCAGCAGCAACAGCAGCAGGAGGCCCCCCAGCCTCAGGGGCCCTCAGGGGCCCCCTCGCCCCTGCCTCCCCAGGGGCCCACCTTATCTCACAACCCTTTCCCTCAGCTAAACCCTATTGAAGCAACGTCCGCTGGTACTCAACAACTTCCCTCCGATGCGACTTCCAGTTTTGCCGGGCCCCCCCCTGGGCCTCCCCCAGGGGGGACCCCGGGGGCCCCCTTAGGGCCCCATCCGGCTGCAGGGCCTCTCCTGCTGCCTACTGACTGGGGACCCCTTCCATCACAGCCGCATGCATCACAATTGTATGCAGGCGGGGCCCCTGATGAACTAAGAGCATCACAAAGCCGCGAGGATCAGCACAGCCTACAGCAGCAGCAGCAGCATCAGCAGCAGCAGCAACAGCAGCAGCAGCATCCCACAGCCCCACTGGCTCCCACCCATAAACAGATTTCTGCCTTCCCGCAGCGCATGCACTCTGATACAGATATCCAGGCGTTCGAACAGCAGCAGCGGCGGCAGCAGCAGCAGCATTTGCAGCAGCAGCAGCGACAGCAACAGCAGCAGCAGCAATTCGGAGGTGCACACCAGATGCATACGCAGCTGCCTCTACACTTCCCTGCTGGATGCCATCAGGGGGCCCCAGGACATCCTCCAGGAGGTGAGGAAGGGGCCCCTGGGGGCCCTCTTCCAGCAGCACTGGGAACCCAGGTAGTGCAGCGGCACAGGGCATCAACAGATCAGGCTGCAGCTACTGCTGCAGTGGTTGCTGCAGCAGCAGCAGCAGATGCAGCAGCAGCAACGCGATCCAGGGAAGAAGGGAAGGGCTCGCAAGACCCCGAAGGCCCACCAGCAACTGAGCCACCAGAGCGCAAGAGAAAGGGTACCGGGAGGGCCCCCGTCTCTTCTCGCCGGAAGACTGCTCCAGTTTCTCCGCAGCAGCAGCAGCAGCAGCAGCAACAGCAACACAGCCATCAGCAAATGCTGTGGCAGCAACCAGACATTGGCTTGCTGCTGCAGCAGCAGCAGCAGGCTGTGCAGGCCCTGCCAGTCAGTGGAGCCGGGGGCGCCTCAGCGCAACAGCAGCAGCAACAGCAGCAGCTACTCTATCTGCAGCAGCTACTGCAGCAGCAGCAGCTGTTGCAACAACAACATCTGCTGCAGGCGCGCCCTGAGCATCATCTGCAGCAGCAGGCTCCGTGGCAGGTGCCTCTGCAGCAGCGGCCGCTGCTGCCCTCACAGACAGGGCAAGAGCAGCAAATGGGAGCAAGTGTACTGCCTCCACAGCAGGGTTCATCAGATCCCCCAGCTGCTGCTGATACTGCAGCAGCACCACAGCAGCGGCTGCAGCAACTGCTGCAGCTGCACGAAGCTGCTGTGCAGCTGCAGCAAAGGGAATTGGGCTTGTCGATGCGCGAGTTAGAGACCCTCTATCTTCCTCTTTTTTGGAACAAAAACGGCAGCAGCAGCAGCAGAAGCAGTAGTACTAGCAGCAGCGACAACAACACCAGCGACAGCAGCAGTAGCAGCAGCAGCGACAGCAGATGGAGCGCCTCTTTAAGAAGATTTAGTTCTTACAAAATAGGAAAGGGGGGCTCCTTTGGGGCCCTAGGGGAAGGCTGCTGGATGGTATGGCCAGCAGAGCAACAAGATGCTAGCAGCTTGCGGCTGCAGCAGCAGCTGCAGCTGTTGCTTGCATGCACTTATGGGGAGAAGAAGCAGCTGATGCTACTGCAGCATATCTGGTGCACAGGCACAGATGCTGCAGGTGCTGCTGCTGCTGCTGCATCAAGGAGACACCCAGAAGCAGTAAACACTGTTATGCTGCTGCCGCCCCCTTCTTGCTTCTCATGGGCTGCTAAGAAGAAAGGCATTTCTTTTGTTTGGAAGCGCATTGCTAGCGAGCAGCAGCAGCAGCTGCTGCAGCTGCTGCAGCAACAGCAGCAGCAGTTGCAGCAACAGCACCAGCTCTTGCTGCAGCAGCAAGGACTCCAGGTGCCCCCCCACCCTGCGCCTGCTGCGGCCTTCCTCGACCCTCTCTAGTTTCTCAGGTGATCTAAGCCTCATTTGGAGCACTAGCAGCAGCAGCAGCAACAGCAGCAACGGCAGCATCATAACAAGTCCTGAATATACAGGCCCCTTTGGAAGGAGCACCTAGGGGCACCCAAGCATAGAGGGACCCCCTCAAACTAACGAGGGCCCCCTATGGGGCCCCCAACCTATTGAATGGCCCCCTAGGGATTTGTGGCTCCTTCGGAGGTCCCACAGAGAGGCCCTGGTTAATGGACGGGGTGCAGCTGTTGTTGTTGTTGTTGTTGCTGCTGCTGCAGTTGTTTCTGCTCCTGCTGAATCGTTCGCAATGCATATCTGGTGGTACATTTTTTTAATACTCTGTATTTAGCCATAGGTAGCTGGGGCTAGCCATGGCCAGCTGCAGCTAGCCATCGTTAGCGGCAGCTAGCAATATGCGGTGCATGCAGCCCCACACTGGCCTATCTACTGTGGGTAGTTAAGCTGTGGGGAGCTGCTGCAAGGGTTTCCTTGGCTGCAGCAGAGAACAGCACATGTGTTGTTTAGTTCGTGCTAATACAAGTGTTTGCTTCTCTTGAGGGTTTACAAACCCTAAACCCTAAACCCCAAACCCTAAATTCTAAACCCTTAAATGGCGCCTTTGTTCATTTGGGGTTTGCAGTCACGGTTTGCCACAAAGCACAGCAAAACACAGTAGCAGTAACAGCAGCAGCATCAGGAAGCAGGCTTGCTGCACTGAAAGCTGATGAGGGGCCCCTTAGGAGGGGCCCCTTTAATTTTGCCTCATTTATATTGTTGACTAAATGCAAGGGTTTAGGGTTTGTGGTTTAGCAGCATCTTATTATCCATTACAGCAGGAAGTCACCCATGGGGTGTTGCTGCTGTTGCTGTTGCTCTTTCTGTTGCTCTTCCCTTTTCTGCTGCAGTTTTTGTTCCTGTTCCTGGTGCTCTCCAGCTTGCTGCTGCTGCTGCTGCTGCTTCTGTTGCTGCTTCTGTTGCTCCATGCGTGCCCATGTGTCTGTTAATTCTTGCCACTCCATTTCTAATCTTTTTCTATATTGAATAGCTTTTTGCTTAGCGCCATGGAAGCCGTGGGTACCCACACGAAAATAAAGATCAGCACGAACAAAGAAATTATGTTGGGGGGCCCTCCTATCAAATTGTACCCTCCAGGCCCCACAAGGATGCCAACGTACACCCCGACAAGGAGAACAATACTGAGACCAATCCACTGCAGCAGCAGCAGCTGCTGCTGCTGCAGATCCACTGTATAACAAACGACGCACAGGACCAGAATTCACCAAGGATAAAGGTAATGGACCACGTACACCCGAAGAACCTGCAGATACACCCGAATCAGCTGCAGATTCACCAGAAGGGGAAGGAGGAATGAAGGGTTTCTGCAGCGGCTGCATTATTCGCATTTGATGTCTTCTCTTCTGAACTACTCTCTTTACTCCAAAAGACCGCGATTGTTGCATATTGCATGCACTATCCAATAATCCAGAAGATCCTGCTGTTGCTGCTGCTGTTGCTGCTGCTGTTGCTGCTGTTGCTGCTGGTCTGGAGGCTGCTCCTGATGCTGCTGCTCCACACGCTGCTGATGCTGGTGCTGCACATAGGCCTCCCAAGGGCGGTGGCAGGCGCCAAAGAGACACACATGGTGCCCCCCTCTCCCTTACCCCGGCTCCTACTCCTTCTGCGCCTGCTGCCTTTGCTGCCGCTGTTGCTGCTCTTCCTGCTGATCCTGCCCGTACTGTAATTGAAAACGCTGCTGCTGATCCTTTGGCTCCTTGGAGAGGAGCAGCAGTTGCAGCAGCAGCGGCTGCAGCGGCTGCGGTGGCTCTCTTGCTGGGCCCTCTGTGGGCCCGCAAGTTCAGACAGAGAGGAGTGTAAGCGGCACAATAGCCCCAAGGGCCTCTGCAGCTCCGATACGCCATCCTCTAAGGGCTTAGCGTCTAGAGTGTAGGCATTAGGGTTTAGGGTTTATGGTTTAGGGCCTCGTATAAAGGGACCCAGGAGCCCCATTAGCTGCCACCTCCAGTTATCTACTATTTTACAGGCATTTCCTTAAACAACAAATACACGAAAAGTTGATATAAACACAAAGCTTGTTTTCTCTCTAAGGTGTGCATGTGCAAGACCCCCCACGGAGGAGGGGGCCCCCCAGGGGCCCTCTGGGGCCCAAGGGCCCCCCCCTGTCGAGTGAGAGCACACGGGAATGTATATACACCGTAGACCGAACTTTCTTTATTTATATAGGAAGTTTGTCTTGCTAACATATTTTAGTTTTCTTGTTTACCATTAGAGGGAAAGCAGAGGAGGGTTTAGAGGCCCTCTGTGGGGCCCCGGTGTCTCGAGGCAGCAGGAGGGAAGATGAAGCCTTCGGGTGTATGGGCTGCTGCTGTCGCTGCTGCTGTTGGTCTTTTCTGCTGCCTAGGTGTCTCTTCCCTGTCCATTCGATCTGCCTTCAGGGGTGGGCTTGTTCCTGGGCGCCGGGGACTGGCTGCTGCTGCAGCACTGCAGCAGCAGCAGCCCAGGACACTGTCCCCTGCAGCACTTCCCTTAGAAGATGTGGGGTGTGCGTTTATCCCCTGTGGGCGTGGGGACGTCGGGAGACGATCCCAGGGTTGCGGGATCGCCTCCCGCTCCAATAACTCCCCACAGGGTGTGCTGCAGCCCTTCTCTAACTACAGCAGCAGCAGCAGCACAAGGAAGGCTAGTAGCAGTACTCTTCCTTTAAAGGCAGCTGAGGGCCCCACACAAGGGCTCCCAGGGACTGCAGAAGAAGCAGCAGACTTCGAGTCATGGGGCCCCCAGTCCCCTGTTGATGACTATCCGGATGCATGTACAGCTCAACTCCCCTCAAAGGAGACAACTTTAGGGGCCCCCGCTGGTGTCATTGACGTGCATTTTGGGGCCTATGATGAGAGGCCTTCTCACGGAGGGGTCCCCGAGGGGGCCACGGAAGAGTATGAGGGTTGGAGACACTTACAGCTGCCTCTCGAGACCCTTTTATTTTTAGCTGTTGATGCGGAGACAGACGCAATGAGGTACCTAAAAGAGGGGGCCACGCATATGCTGCAGAAGGCCCACACACGAGGAGGGGGCCCCAATAAGAAGCTAGACTTAGGGGCTGATATATTAGAGTTAAGATTAGCGCATGCATTATGTACAGAAGCTGCTGCTGCTGCTGTACAGAGACGAGCAGCAGCACAAGCAACGGCCCCCCTGGGTACAGTAGGCTTCAGGGCCCTTAAGAGACAGATTGATGCCTTCTTTGAGGCCCTTTACCCCCGTGTTGCAGCAACAAGATATACCGTACAGCCGCAGCAGCAACAGCAGCAAAAGAAGCAGCAGCAGCAGCAGCAACAACAAAAACAGCAGCAGGTGCTGCGGCAGGCAGAAGACGTATGGGAGGAGTTTAGGGGGTCCCTTTTCTCCCATGAAGAACTGCCAGCCTTTGAGCAGCTGCCTGTTGTTATAACAAAAGGAGACGCACCCCTTTGGGAGGTAAGGAGGGCCACTGCTTTACAGGAGGCCCCCGGGGGGCCCCAGCGCACCCGCAAGCTGCTGCTGCGGCTACCTGAACTGGCCATCCATGAAGCCTTGCTGCCTCCCCTGCAAACTCCCGCGGAGCAGGCAGAAGGAACAGCAGCAGCAACTGCAGCACCAGCAACAACAACAGCAGCAGGAGCTGGAGGCGGGCGCGCCTTGAGGTGGGCAATTCTATGCGCTATGACCCGCTACAGGGAGTTGCTAGACCCGGAGGCAAGGGGCCTCGTACTGGATGAAGGAGCCCCTCAGGAGGGGCCCCCAACGGGGGGCACTGAGGGTCCGCTGAGTTTTGGTAGGCAGCACATTTGTCTCCTGTGCAGCGCAGCATGGCACAAGGGCTCAGTCTCCATTGTTAAGCGTCTTAGGCCTCTATATACAGCATCTAGGGTTTAGGGTTTAGGGTTTAGGGCTTGGGTCTATGCTAGAATGGGACAAGTTTCTCCTTTTATGTGTCTCCTTTACCTGTCTGCTTTATGTGTCTCCTTTCAGGCCTCACTCCTGCAGGGCAAAAACGTCGTCTGCAGCTGCTGCGCACTCTGTTTGAAAACTTTAAACCAGGACCCTCTCAACCGGGAGGCCCCTATGGGGGCCTCCGTTGGGATCCTCGAGGGGGGCTCCGAGCGCGCAGGGCACATCCCCTGTGGCTGCTACCCATGGGGGCCTCCATTCGTGCATGGCTTGAAGCTGACTCTGAGTATATAGAAGGGGCCCCCCACCTCTCTTTAGAGCAGAGACGGTTGCTTATGAGTTGGCTTGGGCCCTCCACAAGATTGTATGCCTAGGGTTTAGGGTTTAGGGTTTAGTGTTTGGTCACAAGCAGACGGATCGTAAACATTCATAAGCAGGCCGTAATATTGAGGTTTAACGCTAAACCTTAAGATTAGGATTTAGGGTTTAGTGGTTAGGATATAGGGTTTAAGGTTTAGGGTTTGGGGTGTTTATGTGTGTGCTGCTGCAGGGATATGAGCGGCCTATTTCATGCGGCGCAGCGCAGCGGTGCTGCAGGAGACAGTCGTGCTGCAGTGTCTCTTCTTGAAGCTTTTTTGCAGTCTCTTGATGTGCAGCCTCCTGACTTAGAGGGTTTAGAGGAGGAGGAGCGTAGGGCCCAGCAAAGAGGAATGGCGGGGCCCCTGTCTAATAGGATGGTTGGGGGCCCCTTTGGGGGCCCCCATGCTGCAGATACAACCAGTGCTGCTGCTGTCCTAGGTATACCCTCCTTTATAGAGGCCCTTATTCTTGATGGTGTTGATGCTGCAGCAAGAGCTGCTTCTCCTCTTATGGCGCAGCTAAATGAACAGGCAAGGGATCTTGCAAAATACCTAGGCTTACCCTCTGCTCAAGGAGGCAATCAAGAGGAAGAAGGAGACGAAGACAGCAGCCGCCACAGCAACAAGACACCCCTGGGGAGAGTATCAAGGGCAGAGCTGCTGCAGCGACGCGAAGAGTTCTTACTGCTACTCAATACAATCGAGAGGAGACTCCTTGTGGTAAGACACTTGACCGCAGCAGCAAGTCCAGATGCAGCAGCAAATGCAGCACCAGCAGCACACGGAAACGTTAGCAGCAGCAGCAGCAGCAACTGCAGCTCCCGCAGCACACATGCTGCAGCAGCACCTGCAGCACCAGGAGCAAGCGTTTATCTGTTGCTGCATGCTGTCTGTGTGCCTTTGTGTGTACCGTAGGCAGCAGCAGAGGCTCTCGAGGGTTCTATATTGGGGGGTACGGGGATGCATGCACGGCGGCTGTCTACTGAGCCTCAGGGCCCCCCCCCTGCAGATTCAGAAGAAGCATCCGTTCGTACTTTTATCGAGGCCCAGGTCTTTATTAGAGACTTAATGCATACAATGAGGCAAACGCTTAAGCTCCCAAGGGGCCCCGGACAAGTAGGGGGCCCCAAGGGGGTCTCTGGAAGCACGACTGCAGGTGTCCCCGTGGATACTCCTGGGGCCTCTATTCCATTCCCTTCTTTTGATGACTTGCTGACTGCGCCTGAGGGGGCCCCCCAGGGAGGGGTAGAGGAAGGGGCGACTCCCGTGCTGGATTCACCGGGGGCCCTTGCTGCTGCTGCTGCTCGTTTGTATGCCTTTTTCCTGGTGCATTGCTTTGAGCCGGGGGCCCTTCCTGCTGCAGTACGGCTGCGTATATCTAGAGGCCTCAATACCCCTACGTCTCCCTCATTAAATATTAAGAGAGAGGCACATGATGGCAGTCTTAGGGCAGAATGGACAATATACATTCAAGGAGACATACAACATATACCCTTGCTCGGTGAGCTACCCAATTCTGCTGCTGCTGTTGCTGCTACTGCTGCTGTTGCTGCTGCTGTTGCTGCTGCTGTTGCTGCTGCTGTTGCTGCTGCTGTTGCTGCTGCTGTTGCTGCTGCTGCTACTGCTGCAGCTGTTGCTTATTCTTTTGAAAACTGCATTTTATTTATGTGCGCCTATGTATGACTTTAATGCAATAAATTGTATATGCACGCAAATAGTAATGCATGCATGCGTGCGCATTTGGGGTGTATGTGCAGCTTCTTCTCTACTGTCTTCAATGTTTGCAATTTATAAAGAGACAGCTGTTGCCCCTAAGGCCTTTTTGCCTCCTGGTTTCCCCCCTTTGGAGACAGAGGAGGAGACAGGGAGTGGGTCTATGGGGGAAGCAAAGGGAAGCAATTCCTGCTGTCTTGCTGTAAGGAGATGGCAAGCAATAAGAGAGGCAGCACAAAAGAACAAATGGCCCTTCTATGTAGGCCTACAAGAAGGGACTCCCTTACAGCTAGCGCTAGCTGCCTCTGTGGGGACCCCACAGGGGACACCAGGAGACCCTTCTCTTGCCTTTGGACTGCCGAAACCCCTTACGGATCTCCTCTTTGTTAATAGTACCCCTAAAATTTCTCTGTCCTCTCCTGAGGGAACCCCCCAGGATGGGGGCCCCCAGGGGGGCCACCAGGAAAGGCCCCTCCTCAGCGATCTCCGCACTGCTGTCCCCATAGGGTCTCCCGGCAGTGTCTCTGCTGCCCTCAGTCTTACTGCAGCAGAGACACTTCAATTGTTGCAGGCAGCAACACCAGAAGAAAGAGACAAGGCCCTCAACGCCCTAGAGAATGCCACGGTGAGATAAAGCAAAGATGCTGCTGCTGCTGCTGCCGCCGCTGCTGCTGTTCCTGCTGCTCCGGCTGGTGCTTCGGCTGCTGCTGCTGCGGCCTACTGCTGCTGCTGCTGGTGCAACATGCCATGCAGTGGCTTCACATCTAGTGCAATGCCAGCAGCAGCAGCAGCAGCGACGGCATCCCGTGGTCGTGGGAACAGTTCGACCGCAGATTGAAGTGCTGCAGCAGCAAGAGCTGCAGCAGCAAAAGTTGCAGCAGGAGTAGAAGTACGTATGCTGTGTGTTGTGTATGTGGGGTATGTGTGTAGGCTGAGCGATACAAGGGGATCGGATCCCCGAGTCAGTTATTGTATCATTTAATAAAGGAGGGAATAAGCAGCAAGAGGGCCCTGGCCCTCTTAAATTCTTTAGTAAGGAGACAGCAGGTGCTGCCTGCTAGCAGCGAAGTGAATAAGCTGATGGCTGTCTCCTCTCCGGAGACAGCAGCGTCTCCTTTAGCTGTTCCCAGCCCCAAGGTTGAGGGGGCCCTAGCTGTCCTGGCAAAGGACTGGGGAGAAGGAAGGGTGCCGGTGTCTCCTCTAGTGCATGCACTATGGGCAGGAGACAGGGGAGCTGCTGCTGCTGCTGCTGCAGCGGGGGCTGTCTCCGCTGCTGCTGAACTAGGGACTAAGGGAATAGACCCAGGAGGAGACGAGGCATTGCTTGCAAGACAGCCCCTTAACACTTGGGCATGGAAGCAAGCGGAGAAAATAAGAAGAGATGTAAGAGACAGCATGCATGCATGCATGCATACAAGGAGTTGGGAGGGGAGGGAAGAGACACTGAAGGCACATTATATCTCAGGGAACTATATATTATAAATAATGTAATAATAATAATAGTAATAATGTATATCTTATCTTTTGCTGCATGCATGCATGAGGGGTGTCTGTCTCCTTTTAGGCCTTAGGGGCGGCGTTCTTGCTGCGGTGGTTGGAGGGAAGGATGCGAGGGTTTAATCATTCAAGCGACTGTCTCCACACCTCCTTAACAGGTGTAGATTTGCGTGGTATAGTAGGGGAGGAGGCGGCCACACCGCCTCCGCCGGTGGGGGGCCCCGTTCTCGGGGAGAAGAAGGGGGCCCCCCCTCCCCCAACCCCTGCCTATAAAGCCCTAATGCAAGAGGGTATTAAATACCTAGAAGACTTACATGTTATTGAGCACCAGCACCAGCATGCACAGAGGCAATTAACCATGAAGCATCTCCTTATGAATGGGGCCCACCCTGAGGGTCTGCTGGAGGCTGCTAACCAGGTTTGTGCGGGTTTGGGGCCCCCATCTATGGGTATGGGGGCAGGAGCCCCCCCGCTACCTCCACATGCAGCAGGGCAGGGAGGGGGCCCTACCCCTCCCGCTCCTCTACGTAGCCCAGAGGGTGAGAAGGCTCATAAGGAGGAGACAGAGAGGGCAACCCAAACGGAGACACTTCTTCAGGAGGCCCTTAGAGACCCAAAGAAAAGAATTATTGATGGAGAAGAGAGACAGCAAGTGGTAAGAAAATACTTTATATCCTGCATGCACACCTTACCCACCAGCTAGCCACAGACCCTTAGTTGGCTACGCATAGCTAGCTGCGCTAGCTAGCTGTTGCTAGCTGCGTGCCAGGTTTGGCTACCTGTGCGGTAGCTAGCCACAGCTAGCCATAGCAGCAGGGTGTATGCTTCTGCATGCGTTATTTGCTGCTGCTGCTGCTGCCTGTGTTGCTGTGTGTTGGGTGTATAGGCATTGCGTTTATATGAATTATTAAACAATAAATGTTTTTATAAGGCATTACCTCCGCATGCACAATTAATATTTAGAGACCCTAATCCTCTTATTGTCTCCTCGGGGACACTACAGAGTGTCTCCTCTCCTCAGGCTGTTCTTGCTGCTCATACAACAGACCTTAAAGACTTCCGTAGACCCCTCATCATTTACGTGAGTCAAACCCTCATTTAGGGTTTAGGGTTTAGGGTTTAGGTAGCTGCTAGGGAATCTATACATATAATGTATATGTATATGCATATATTTACAGTTATATAATATAAATACATTATAATTATATATCTATTTATATATTATGTATGTGTGTCTATGTATATATGTACAGATACACCCTAAGGTAAAGGATATATTCTTATTAGGGCATCTGCTGCTGCAGCAGATGATGCTGCTGATGGGTCGTGTGTATCAGCCATTTACTACGTTAGGTGTAGATACACCAGAGGGATTAAATGAGCATATAACAGCTAGACAGTTAGTCCCCTTAGCTAAGCAGTATGCAGGGGAGCTATCTAGGGCACCCCTATACCCTCCCTCTGATGATGGTCGTCAGAGGATCCAGACAATAGCTAGACCCGATCCCATCGATCCCAACGATCCCAACGATCCCCAAGGCCTAATGTCCCTCTCGCGCTTCTTTGAGGACTCAACCTCCTTACCTGCCCTATTAAAGGAATCAGGGGCCCTTACTGGTCAGGAGGCAGCAGCACAGCAGCAGGCATTAACTACAGCAGCAGCAGTAGTAGCTAAAACTGCTGCTGCTGCTCAAGGATCTCGTACTACTACTGGTACACCTGCTACTGCAGCAGCAGGAACAGCAGGAACAGCAGCAGGAGGTCCTCGACCCAAGATGACTGCACTACACCTTGTTGCTGCAGAGGCTGTACAAACTGTCTCCTCTGCCAGCCCCAATCCTCACGAATTAAGTCCTGCTGCCTTCTTAGATGCATTAGAGTTTGTACAATTAGAGGCAGGGAGACACTATGCAAGACAAGGGACAAAGGAGATACCTATTGTATTAGCAGCACCAGGGGAAGAAGAAGAAGAAGCAGAGGCACAAGCAGCAGAAGCAGAAGTAGATAAGTATGCTGCAGAAACAGCAGCAGCAGCAGCAGCAGCAGGACATCCTACACATAAAGAAATGATTAATAAAAAGGAGACACCTAATAAATATTCTCCTCCTGCTGATTGGAGGAATCTCTTGTCACAAACAGAGAGTATAAGGTACGTATATTTATACACAAATATACACATAAAAGGAGACACTTATTAATTAATTAATTAATTAATATAAATATAGATATAGATATAAATATAAATATAAATATAAATATAAATATAAATATAAATATAAATATAAATATAAATATAAATATAAATATAAACAAGCCAACAAAAAAACAAATAAATAAAGTAAATAAAATAAACAAATAAATAAATAAATAAAATAAATAGATAAATAAATATGTGTGTATACAGGATAGTAAAAAGGGCAATGGTTAATGGCGGAGGATTAGGGGGTTCTTCTTTATTAGGAGATCTATTAGAGACAGGAGCAGCAGATATAGATAGGAGTATAAATATCATGGTCTGTCTCTTTTTTTTTTTTGTCTCCTTTTCTTCTTCTCCTCCTCTGTCTCCTTTTCTTATACTCATGTATATTACTATTAGTCCTTTTTCTGTCTCCTTTTCTTATTCTCTATCTATCTCTCTTTGTCTCTTTGTCCCCTTTTCTTATTATATATTATTAGTCCTTTTTCTGTCTCCTTTTCTTATACTCTAGGTGTCTCTGTTTGTCTCCTTTTCTTATACTCTAAGAGTCTCCTTCTGTCACCCTTGCATGCATGCATGCATACATGCATGCATGCATGTATATTTATGCCTAATTATTCTTCCTTGCGTTTGTGTCTTAGGCCGAGGCAGTGCGACCAAGAGAGACACCCACTGTCTCCTAAGGAGACACTTGCTGTCTCCTAAGGAGACACTTGCTGTCTCCTAAGGAGATAGCTGCCGTCTCCTTCTGTAGGGGACACCTGCTGTCTCCTTCCGTGTTTGAGTTGCTGCTGCCCATCGTCTCTGCTGCTGCCACAGAGTGGCCCAGAACAGCAGCAGCAATAGCAGCAGCAGCAGCAGCAGTAACAGCAGTAGCAGCAACAATAGCCTTTTTGTCTTTTGTTTTGTGCCGTACACAACTGTCTCCTTTCTTTTTTCTTAAGGAGGCAGTGCAGCGGCTCCTTAGTGTAGGGAAGAAAGAAGTTGGACCTCTCCTTCCCTCAGTGGACCACTGGTCACGGTGGTCCACTGGACCACTGATGGTCCGTTGGACCACCAGCGGTCTACAGACACCTATCCGTCTTAATTGCATGCAAATTATAAGGAAATGTAGCATCTAAATATTTAGCTAGCTGGATAGCTAGTAGCAACAAGAGGCCCTTCTTTTATTAGTCTCTATTTGCTGCGGAGTATCTGCGTGTATGTTCGCTATCCAGCCACCTGTAGACCCATTAACAACTATCTAACTAGCTAGCCATACATAGCTAGCTAGCTATCCTGCTAGCTAGCTACCTTGTTACCCAGTTGGCTAACCATCTACGCAGCTAC